GACAATCCGTGGTAACTTCCGCTTTGGCTCTAATTAAAGCCCCGGCGCCGAGGCGGAAACGGAACTGCGAGATAGCGGCCGGGAATATCGCTAAATTCTCCGATCGTCCGTCGCGCCTGAATTCTGATCGGCATACCCGCCGCGTGCGGAGGAGATCGATGAAATTCTCACTTGTGAGAATTCGCGGCGCGTGCGCTAATCCGTTAAAACGGCGGGCGCAATTATGCGAATGGAGTCCGCGGGAGTCCGATATTTTCGTGAAAATTGATCAGTTTTGTTTGGCCGTTAGAGGTGTTCCGCGAGATAACGATCGGATCCCGCGTGGATGAATTAGCGCGACGTGAATCCGATTCGCTTGAAAATGCAATCGGGAATCTCCCGCGCGATCATATTTCCGTCCTTTCATATTTTTATTCGTTTCGTCACGCGTTTTACAGTAATCCCCCCCGCGTTTTCCAATTTCACGCGAATTTTCCCCCGTATAAATCTTATCTGCACTTTCCGACTATTTTGCAGTAAAAAAAATAAAATGTCGATTTTAACATTTTTCACATGTCCCAGAAGGTCCGCTCTAAATTTTAACTTGAAATAACTCATTTGAAGGAACTCGTGAATCGACATTAACATTTTCTTTCAATACATGATATTAATTATTTTGCCTTAACTTGCATTTGCAATAGTACACTCGCTATTAATTGAAATGATATATTTATAATATTGAATGTATGAAATGTTAACACTGTCTGTAAATTTCAACGTGTCAAATCAACTAATAATATTCAATAAAATTAACACCTTCGTTAATTAATACTGAAATATAAAAATATAAAATGTGAAATATAAAAATATGTTATCGTAATATTTGTACATGTTCAATATCGATTTAATGCAAAATGTTGCGACAAAAACACAATATGTTAAATTAACTAAATAATTGTGTTAAAACAATTCGAAGTAATATTTCGTTTCTGATGATGATACACAATAAGTGTTAAGTTACTAAATTGTCATAAATATAACAAAAACGTAACATATTGACTGTATGTTAATTTTTTCTGGAAATAATGAAAAGTTGATGGCACATAAGGAAATATTAACGTTTGGCCGCAAAAGATGTTTTATTCTGTTTCGATAGCGGAAATATCCGATATCGTGATGCGAGTTTCATCGCGGTGAGAATCTAAGTGTTCGCCTACGGGATGAAAAGCGCAGCGCGATCTTTGATGAGAATAAAGTGAGATCTTCGTCGCTATTGTTTCGAATATTCACGCAATTAGACGATAAGTAGACGCGACCGTTCTCTTCTACTTCCCGGTTCTCCGGCCAACAGATTACAACTGGCATAAAATCAGATCTCCGAGTACCGAGTGTCACGGGAAGAAAAGCGGAACTGCCTCGCCGCATGAAAGTGCGCTCGCGCAAATAAACAATAAATCGAATTCAGCAGCGGACGGATCGCGTGAAATTTCTGAATAGCGATCCGAATTCAATTTCAAGGGGTAACGCGCGCGCGCGCGCGCACGATATATTATTTATTTTATTAATTTAAATCGCACGCACACATCGCGCTCAAACGCGCGTGATGTAATATTAATATTCGCGGTCTGCGAACTGTCATGACATTACATTTTCATTCATTTTCCCGTGTAATAGCATAATTTACATTTTATGAATATTTCACGGGAGAGAATTGGTGTAATTTATTTAAAACATGCGATGTCGCTCATTCAGTACAGCGTAGCGCTCATACATTAATTTCACACTGGCTGGTTACGCGGTAACGAAAAATCTGGCGGAAAGTCAGCCACGCACCCGCGAAAATATATAGAACTATAATGCGAAAGAACGCAGCGCAGATAAATTCGGCGCGACTGCGTGTATTTATTACACAGTTGCGCCGTGCCTGTGATAGCGATCGTCGCTACATCAATTCGCTGAGGCATCGCGCACGTCGCGTAATAAATTCTTAATTTTTCACGGCGATTCACGGCGATCTCCCATCGCCCGCGCGGAATCTTGAGATTTATACGGGATCATAGACAGACTTACTAATATATACGGACGAGTTCGGAGTGTTAGCTCGTCGAGAACGTGGAAACTTCGTATTACAATCGCGAGAATGAGAAATCGTGAGTTCTCACTCGCCGGCGAAGGCCGGCGCACAAGATGAAGTAATCAAACTTTAGGTCGCGTTTACTCCACACCGCTTTATTTTCGCATCTCTCTTGCATTCGAAAGATTTCTTGCGGATAATCTCGCAAAAACGAAACACCAGTGAGAAACTTTCGGCATCTCGGAATTCTCCTTCTCTCTCTCGTATTTTCATCCTCGCCTATTCGCTCGAGCCGCATGTTTTTAATTGCATCGCGGTTTCTATCGCGCGAAGGGTTGAATTTACAACCCCTTTCGTCGATCTTACACCTTCCCGCTGTTCCTCGCGCGCAAATCGAAAATCATGAGGAGCGCGAATCGACGATCGCGTTGACGAGCGAGCAGAATAATTTTTATGGGCGACCGCCGGAACAAGTTCTTTTACGTTCGGCATTATTTGCGATCCCCGGGTTTTATTACGTGACTTACTGCCGCGTAAGGGCCGAGCACGTCGGCGTTTGCGCGTTTACTTCGTTACACGTCGTAACTTCTGCGCACGGAACTCCAGCCCTTAAATACTTAACCGCGCGTTTTCCTTCCCTTCTTCCTTTTATACTGCGAATAATAAGCGAATAGCGAAAGGAATGAAACTCGTCCTCCAACGATTTATCTTGCCGCCGCAGAATCTGCCCTCTTAAATTTTGAATGAAGTTTAATGAATGTCATCCGGCATTTTTAAATATTCTTCATGTGTCAAATATGGAAAGGAGTAACGGCCACCGTTTCAACGCGAAATTCTACAAAATATAAAAACAATAACTTCATTCTACTGTACTATAGACGTTCGTAAAAGTATATTTCGAGTATCAATTTTTTATTAAATTAAATTATGTAATATTTTGTTAAATTAAATTAAACGTTGGGGAGTACGTTTGAAGGAGCACAAAAATCGGCGTTTTAGACGCTCGATAAGAGGATCGTATAATTTTTTTTCCCGAAAATACCAGAGAGCTCCCGACCAATCTGTGGCCAATATATGCGCGGTAATCCCTCTCATCTTGCGAAGATCAGGCGATTCTCTCTTTGACGATCGTTGAATAGTTATTACACATTTGCACCCGCTATCTCCTCTTCAGCGCGGAAAAGAGGAAAAAACTGGAGGTTTAAAAGTCTCCTCTCTCTCTCTTTTCCTTTCGAGCGAAACCACCGGTATGGAAGATGTTCGACTTTGAAGATGTTTCTCAAATTTATGCGTTCCACGATCCCGCGGAGGCGGGCTACGCATATCCATTCGCCTTCCCCTTTTTTCACCCTCACCCTCGTTCTATGCTCCCGCTTCTCATTCTCTTCCTCTCCCCCCTTCACTTCCTCTCTCTCTCTCTCTCTCTCTCTGTCTTTCTTAATATCGCTCAGCGTCGATGGCTCCTCAGATTTCCGTGGCATTTTAACGGAAACGACGGGAAAACCGACGCACACGATCCGCGAGGAGAGAAGCTTTAACGACTTTCGCGAGATTCGCACGGACGGGCGGTAACGACTTTCTAAGTGCGAAAATTCTTAAGGCCACCGGGAAACATTTTTGAGCCGGTAATACAGCGGTTAGCTGTCTTCGCGCGAGAGTACGGCGCGAGCTTTTTGTCTCCGCGAGGACGCGCTGATGTGCGACGAAATTGCAAGATTTACGCTGATCCCGCATGCCGATGCGCATCCGTCTTGCGTTGCATTTTAATGCAGTTGACAGTTTACGTAGAGCGCGTGAGAGAAGATTCCGTTCCCGGGCCGAGTTAACTCGAGACTAGAGACCGCTACGTAGTCACTAGATTACGGTAGTCTCTTATCCGATTCCGGATGTATATTCTGTCGTCGCAACTTCGGGAAGAACTCGCAATTTGTTCTCGGCGAATTTTCTCTCGGCGTTATTACACTTTAATAATTACAATATCTGCAATGATAATTACAATAATTTAATAAGATGTGTAAGAATATTAATTAAATTAGATAAACCCATGCCGATCGCATTTCACGAACCATTATTATCTAAGGCTCGGTTTATTAACTTTAAGAGACAGAAAAGTTTTTATAGACATTCTATTTTTCTTTAAAATTCTAAGAAGCCTATTTGAATATCCAGAGTTATTGGAATTATTCTCACTTCATATTCCTACTAGATCCTTTAGAAAGTGCCTTTAGAAAGAGCCTACCTTTTTATATAAAGATACATTATATTTCTAAAGATACATTTCTTTATATGGCAATTTAAACTAATTAATCGCACGAATTTGCAAGTTTGCTTGCAAATTCGTTCAGTCGTATAGTATATCGATTTTTATCACGTAGCATTGATTTCATTTAAGGCAACCATTATAAAACAACTTTTAATTCTCATTCTTCTGATTTTAAATTATAGACTTTATATCTTCTTTTTATCTTGTTTCTTTTTATTATGTATTGAATAATGGCTTAAATTGTGTAATGATTAATTATATTTGCTGTACTAAAAAGATTCCTCCCGTAATAAATAGAAATTACCGCAAACTTCGTTCATCGATAACTCGGAACTCGATGAGCGAGGAACGTTGTACGAAGAAAGTTTGGTTGGATTTACTTAACAATGAACAAACCAAATACGTTTCGGTTAAAAGAAAGCGAGTTTCTGATTTTAAGAGCCGAATTTACTCCGTAAGAGGCAGAAATTACGCTTCATCGTCGGATAAATTCAACCAAACTTTCTTCTTCGTGTGGGAACTTTGCAGAAAAAATACGCGAGTATACTCTCGATGCAAATCTCGTTCGTTACCTCAAGTTCGATCTACCGGACCGCCCTTGCCTAGCAAGATACGGTTGACGGACTCATGCATGGAACACAAAGCGCTCTCTCACGAACGAATCCGAAACGGCTTCTGTTGCAGGTCGAGATGAAGGGAATCTCCGGGCCCATTGAATTTAAAGAAGGCCGCAGAATTCAGTTTAAATTGGATCTGTTGAAGCTGAAGCAACACTCGCTCGTCAAGGTACGTCGCGGCTTACCGCGAGCGAAACAGGAAGCGTATCGGGGCCGACGGTGAACAACAGATTGGTATATAAAATTATATGTGAAACCAGGTAGGCGAGTGGCGTCCCGGTACCGGCGTCAACGTCACAGACGCCGCAGCCTTCTTCGAGCCCAGCATCGGGAACGTAACTCTAATCGTGATCACTATACTGGTGAGTCACCGTCGATATTTATACATTCTGTCTGCGTAATCATTTCATCGCACACGTTTAGCGTCTGAGAATCAAAGAAACTGAACTGAAAAATGTGCGACGACTTCGTCGTCGTAACTGCGGCACCGTCGTGCCTCACATTTTGGTAGAGAGCGAGGACAAAGGAGGGGATCGTGACGGTCAAATTGAAAGTTCCTCGATATGGTCGGCGCCAACGTGTCCCGTCGTTAATATCCGCGTTGCCGCCGCGCGGTCTCAATCGTTTTTCGTTCGTTATTCTTACATGACAAATCCCGCCCGTTCACGGACAGGAGATGCCGTTCGTGATGATGCACCAAGAAAAGAACTACACCGGGAATTCGCGATTTTACGGTTTTTGCGTGGATCTCCTGACGGCGGTGGCGAGGAAGGTGGGCTTCTCCTACCGATTGGAGCTGGTGCCGGACAGGAAGTACGGTGCACGAGACCCGGAGACCGGCGAGTGGAACGGCATCGTCCGAGAGCTCATGCGACATGTACGATTCGGTTTGTTTTTATTTCTCACCTCTCCTCCCCTCCCGATAGCGCGTAATCCTTCCTCCCTCCCGTTAGCTCACGTAATCGCTAGATAATCGTTGGCTGTCTCGAATTGGCGAGTTCTCCGCGGACTCGTTAAGTAGTCAAGGAAGTTTTACTTCCGAAGTTTCTGTCTCTCGGCTGTTTGTACCTCGGATCGAACTCTGGACCGGACTCACACGCACATGGACTATTAATGACGATCAAAGCACGGCAACTGATTGAATTCTCTCTTAATGGCTCGACAGTCCGATATGCGGACAGTATCGATAGTGGACGATAAACGATGTTAGTTTCGACGCCCGTATAATCTGCTTCAGCGTAAAATAAGAACGATCACGATTAGAGCCTCCGTTCTCCTTGTGGCTTGTGTCCGTATCTCTCGTTTGAGCCCAACGTTTCAGACCCAATTACGATCTTCGTTTGTGTATCAAGGCACGTTCCCGTTATGCTGACCCGCCGTTTGTCGAAACTATCCTCCTAGTAACTCATTGTGATCAATTACTCCGGTATCTACCATATCGTAGGACGAGGAGCGTGTAAAGGTAAATCACACACAATGCGGCGTGCACGTCGTGCAGTTGGTAGAACGGCCGGCAGAACTCGCGAGCGTCATTCGGTGTGTAATAAGATCGTAAATCGATCAGTGACCAGCGAGTTAATTACCGATTACGCCGCTTAACATAAATGCCACGGGATTAGCGAGGGATCTGTTAGCGGTACCCGTCGATCGATATTTTTGCGGTTACGGTATCTTACGGAAGGGCGTGAAACAATACGGGACTTTTAAATGTGCACTTTTTCACAGGAAGTATTTTCTAGGTTACAAGTACGAGCGATTTAAAGGGAATGAATAGAAACTTTTTACGCTGAGAAGCGAATCGATCGACTGTCGATGACGTAAATGGCCATCGATGCCAGATAGGTCGTTACAACATTACATAATATTATATTGCGCTTGCAATTCACGCAACTATTTAATTAACCGCCCGTCCTCGATATAGATTCCAAAATCGATGCGCAGCCAATATTTTTAGATGCCTTGATGGCTGGCTTTTTTCTTGATTAAAAATAACGGCAGACAGATAAATTATTAATTATTGCCAATGGTATTTTAACGAAAACAAAAAAAAATAGACGCATATAAAATATTCTCTCTCGTGATGCGACGCAAATTCGATATTTTTGATTATACACTGCAATATCGTGAGACAAATTCAAGAGCATTTCTCTCCAAATGTCCGCAATTTCCATTTGAAGTTTAACGAACACATGACATGCATAATAATTCGTAATAATCGTTCGTTGTAATTGATACTTATGGAATGAGGAACGCGCGGGATATAATCGACGGAAAATTGTCGAAGAATGGTCTCTTTGAGTTTCCCGTTGGTGAAATATTTCTTTTTCATATGTTTTGTTACTATATGCGCTCGTTAGACGTGAAAGTTTGCTTAATGACTGCAGGTCTTCACCACTACCTGATCGATGCGTACGTGCACGCGTGTCGCTTCGCATGCACGCGGGTGTGTTCGACGTTGAAATTTTTCCGGGCTATCCTCTCGTTAAATCTTTCACGCTCTTACGGCTTCGCGCTTCACGTACTTCGTCGCTTTATTCGAGATTCATGCATTATTCAACGATGTGTTAAAAGTGACCTTACAACCTCCATTAAGTTGGTCTTAAATTAATTTTATATCTCATCTCTTGTCGCCCAGATTGGGTATGCTAACATTCACGCTTAACGTTCGTGTGTGGATGCGTCGTGTCAAGTATTTATTTCACGAAGGCGCTGACCGTTTGATCCGATATCTTTTCCTTTCTTAATACGTTCGCCGTCGGAATTATTTTTGACGATGAATGATTTTCCCGTTTACGCGTGGGATACGCCGTCCACGTTATCGAGACTAACAGTTTTACTTACAATATATGTGTTACAAGAGAGAGACTGCAGAAATTATTATGAACAAGAAAAATATGTAACGTTCGAGATACGATCACAGAACAAACATGATTGTTTAAATAATTTTTTGGAATATTTGTACAATTTATATCAAGGAGTGAAAAAAATGCATTTTATTTATCATCGATACGTATTCGCCTTTGTAAGCGAAGCCCGTAAGAAATAATTTGATAACCACCATGTTAATTCACCATCTTCACTTTCCGCGAACGCGTGGCTTATTCGAATTAAATCTTGCGTTTGGGTTTCCGAGCTCTTTTCATGCATATGTATACGCGCATATGCATGACAATTTTTTTTTCCGAAACGAATGTAGAACTTCAAACAACGCGCACACGCGCGCGCGCGGGTTAAAAAACCTCCATACGTCGCAGTCTCCCTGTGATTTGAATTCAGTCGCAAAGTTAACAATATTAACGTGAAGAATAAAATTAGCGATATCGGAGAAACGTTTTGCACGATGTCGAAAATGAATTTAACTCGCCGGCGAATTAACGCGCTCCTTTTCCGTTTTTTTCCACGGTATCACTTTTTCGCACGGCTTAATATACGCGTGCTAAGTATATTATGCATATTATATTATGTACATACGCCGTGCCGTTGCAGTTAATCTAGAAATTCTCATATGTAACCCGTAAATAGCAAATCTGACGTCGGCGTCCCCTCTTAATTAAATCCTTTACGTTTCCGCGTAACGCGGCCGCTGCCCCATTTTCATCCAAAATGGCGAAAGCTTCATGAAGCGAAGTTACTTTATTGCATTTCAAGAAGCCGATTTGAATTTAAATTTAAATCTAGACCGCGCTAGACCACTTCCAGCTCTAACTCTGAATATACGGCGACCGCGTTATAACGCCCCCAACGCTGGAAACATCTTTTGTCCGCGCTATTTTCCGCTCGTTCGTCGTAAGAATAATATTTCCAACGGTACAACGGGCAATTCCAACGGGCAATTTTTCTCTCCCCCTTGTTCATGTTCTCTCTTCAGCTCGCGTTCGTTTGTTTGCTTGAAATGTACGTGCAATTATCGGAATTACTCGAATAACTCAACCGTTTTTTTCTTCATATATCATGCGCCCAATATAACACGCATCTCCGGCCCGCCCGAATACATAAATCAACGAAGCATCAGACGTGCAAACTACGATTTCTGCGCGCGCGGGAAATATGCATCGAGCGTAATAAGGGGGTTTCTAATTAAGGTAGTTGTAGCACAAAATGAGTTTTTTTCTCATAATTCGTTGAAACTTTCACTATGAATCAATTTAAATATAATTATAAATAAATGACGGAAGCTGAGAAACTCGCAACTGAGGATAACACTTTTTACAACGTATACAACGAAGTTAAAGTGTCCACCAACTTATATCTCCCTCCAAACCCTACAAATTTTATCCAGAATATTTCTTACTATTTCGCTTAATTATTTATATATTTAGACTTCTAAAGCTAAGCGACTCACCCCTATACTCGTACATTTGCATACATTTAAATACTTACATACCTCTTTCTATTATCTATGCATCTCTGTTAGATCAACTAATGCATCAAAAAAGCATTAATAAGAAAAATAAAAAATAATATTTTCGCATTTATAACATTGTGTACACATGTCTTGCTTTAACTCCGTTTCAAATTAACATTTAACATATTACTTAGACAGTGAAGTAAACGTATAGAAACGTAATTTTGCTTGATAAATACTAAATGTACGAACGGCTCCCCTGACGCGACACTGAAAATACGGCACTCTGCGATACAGTTACCTTAAAACGAAATGAACCAAACAACGATGCGCGCGGTATACGAAGGAAAGTTTTTACCATGAAAGTTTCCCGCGGAGGGGTGCGTCGTGGAACGAGCGAAATTATTTGTACCGGCGCACATTGTCACGCGGAGAATCAGTTACGACCGGGGCGGAAGAGTGTTACGCGAGTGTTATTCTCGAGTCACTCGTAAGGCGTGTAACAACGAAGCGATACGCGCGACATTACGCAAATGAGGTTGACTCGGTAAACCGCACTCTAACTGACGTAACTTCGCACGTTAATCGGCACTCTCGCACCTGAGTCTCCTGGCAGTACCAGGTACATCTGACACGTAGTTGCCTGCGCGCGGAGCGCGTCACGCACATCTCGTGGGAGTGTTCAGCGTAATAGTCTATCGAAGAGTAATCCATTTAGCCGCTAATCAGCATCGAGAGAGCTTGTGCATCCGCGCGTCCTTCTCTCTCTCTCTCTCTCTCCCTCTTGATGTGTCAGCGTTGCATCCTCCAGCGGGCCTGAACATAGCTGGAATGCCGTCGTAAATACCAATTAAAGCTGTCCACGCCGTTACGAAGATGCACGACCCGCTATCGCCGCTGCGTCGCCGGCACTCCTAAACTCTTCGACGGCGGGCGTATGGTGGTGTCACTTTCACGCCAACCTCGTGGATGTTGTTTCTGGTAGAGTCCTGGGTATAAACAGAGAAGCGACATTGAACAGGGTCGGTTCGATTGGCTGTCTGAATCACATGATCGCGACACTATTTCTTCCTATTGACTACAACTACACTGATTATAACAACTACAAGTTATAAGGAAAGTATTCTAACCAAGTCTAATTGTTACGGTTAACTTCTTGCAACCTAACTTTTCCTTCCCATCCACCGTCCTTCTTTCACTTTTTTATTCGTCTGCTCTAAGTATCATCTTGGAAAAAAAACCGACTTTCAATTTATCGAATTCAATGTTGCTTTTTCATTTATATGTCGGACTCCAGTTATAGGCTCGACGCGAGTCGGGAAAACGCATTTTCATTCCACGCTGCGCCGAGTCGCATCGCGGCGCGCCGCTTGCGATGTGACACATTGCGGATTATAAGGTTTTATGTGTCCTGTTTTTCCTCTCTCCCTGTGTAAAATCGCCCTTCTCTCCTGCCCCCGTTTGTTTTATTCGTCGATTCGTGAAATTGCGACGTGCCTTTTGTTAATCTGTATTATAAACGAAAAAAGAACGTTGTGTTTTATTATTTAATAACGAGTTCCTGGGCTACGTTGTATGCTTAAGATCTTTACATAGTAATATTATTATTTACGTATATATCGCAGAATATGAATATTAAAGGGAAAACTAACGTAGATACGGTAAGCCTACATGCCCATGTTTCTCGACTGTAAAGTACTAAACCCTGTCGGACAATACAGGAACTTCATCTACTGTGTATGTACAGTAGTTGGAGGTGAAGTGGCATTTTCAACTTTGCCAGCGCGTTCGGTTGTGTTATCAGCGCCGTTCGATTTTCCATTGTGCTGAAGTTTTGTTGAACTGTCTTCTTGCGAAAATTCAAGTAACAAATCAGCGATAAGTAATTTATTTGATAAGTTTATTTGATAATGCTATGTCATAGTGAGTTTCGAACTTTTAAAATCACTTTGAATCTTGCGCCAATCTCTATCCTCTGTCACTGAACCACGCAAAGAAAGGTAGATAGGTTGTTCTATAAACCGGCTTGTTCTATAAACCGGTTTTGGGATTTAGTTTCTATAAGTATTAATCCTCAAACATTAAAAAAAAATAGTTATTTGCAAGAAAATATATAATCATTTTCATAAGACTATCATATATTTTGACAGAGAAACGTTGCTGGTTTACATTCAGGCATGTAAATTTTAATTTTACATCGTTAATGGCGTGTCGGTTTTGGTGCTTTTCCTCTAATTATTTTACAACCGCATAACCGCGGCGCCCGAACATCTTCTTCGGTGAAATCGCGACGAAACGCTCCGCTCGCCAGTCGCAAACCTCTCTTTACCAAACAATTACCGGACCGACTTATTGCTCATCACCACGTGATAAAATACATATTTAAAGTGCTAAATCTGTGATTGTTACAAGTCGTGTCCATTTAGTATTCTCCAGTCGAGCGTATAACTCCCGGTGAGGATGCGAATCTCCCGTGGCACGAACGGAGTGCGAAGGATACGCTGAAATCTCCTTGATCCCGTCAAACCCAGACCGAAGCCGTAAAGCTTGATCTCAACGCGCGCGGCTTTCGCCCCGGGAAGGACAAAAAGAAAAAAGATTTACATCCGAGCCCGTAAAATTCTCACGCCCAAGTCGCGGACGCCTTTATCGTTTCGCGCGCGACATCAGTGACCTTGTCGCCGACCATACCGATAGAAACCCGGCAGGAGGTCGCAGTGTCCTGCGAGAAAGGACTAAGAAAATGGGCGGGAAAACCGGAGACGGAGATAGAGAAAAGGAAAAGAGCAGAATCAAGCGGGAGCGAGGAGGTGGCCTGTGAGGAGAAGACGAGCGAAAAACGGCAGCTCCTTTTTATGATCCCCGTAGGAGCAGCCGTACGTAATGCTGAAGACCGGAGGGAATTTCAGCGGGAACGCGCGCTACGAGGGCTTCTGCATCGACCTGCTGAAGGAGATAGCGCACATGGTGGGCTTCACCTACAGGATCGAGCTCGTACCGGACGGCAAGTATGGCGTTTACGATTACGAGACCGGCGAGTGGAACGGGATAGTGCGCCAACTGATGGACAAGGTGAGGCGTGTGCACGTGTATATGCGTGGGTGTATGCGTGGATATCTGTGAGTGCAACGGATCGGAATTAGCGCAGAGACGCGTGAAACACGTGCTCTTCGCGAATCTGCCGCGAGAGAACGCATGTTATTCCGTCAGATATCGCACGATGATCCCGACAAACTGTATTTAACGCTCTTCGAGATGGTTGAGGCAGCGAATTTCAAGTCAATTCTCAACGTCAGCGACCCGCAGTCGGCAACTGTGGCTACTTTAACGTGTTGAGTGCCGACGGAATATGGTCATCGGCATTATGACATTGCCGTATCTTGTTAGTTGAAATAGAATCGACTTTATCATGCTCTAGGACAAATCCTGTAAGAGCGGCAATTAATATTGATTTATGGTAGATCCAAGCAGTGACGAACGTTCGCAGACCTCAGCAAGATAAAACAGATGTTCGCGTTTATAGTGTCCCTCTATAAATGAAGGATCTCTTCTAAAGTAAAAGAGAATAATAAATGCATATTAAATTAAATGACTTTAATTAAACTCTATTGTGAACATAATGGTTATCTAAAAAATTTCTCAAAGTTAAAAACAAAGGGGTATGCACATGATTTTTTTCACGGTAGTATTTGGATATTTCGATGTGATGAAAGTTGCAGCGCCATTTGTAACGAATACATCGTTTGCAGTGACGTACGATATAATGGAATTATTATATGAGTTCTGCAAGAGAGAGTTTTCTCGGTGTAAAGTTTCACGAGTGACTACTACCTTTATATTTTCATCTCTACCGTGTGTAACCAACTTCCAACTTCTGCATTAGCGGCTGATATATCTGTCATCTGCTCGGACATCAAATTAATGACTGTATGTTTAGTGTTACACGTCAACTGGTAATGTGTAGAAGTCAGAAGTTACCCACATGGCTGGTAGGGTCAAAGATGTAAAGGTAGTAGTCACCTGTGAAACTTTACACCGGAAAAACTCTCTCTCTCTCTCTCTCTCTCATGTAGAACTCATAAAATAACTCTATTTATCATACATCGTTGTATTCGTTACAAGCAACGCCATAACTTTCATTAAATTAAAATATCACCGTAAACAAATTGCGCATATCCCTTTGTTCTCTAGTTTAGATAAATTTATTTATCCCGCTGTATTCGCAATAGAGTTTAGTTCAGTCAATGTGTTAATTGGCGACTGATGAGTACGCGTACGGACACGGAGAGAGCTACACGCGCGAGACCGGCAGCTCTCGCACGAGGACACAGCACTCCCACTTTGCGGCAGCCGGATCGCGAAACTTTCGCAGAGACATCACACCACCGGCAGCGCACATTGGTGTACGATTTCCATGTAACGGAAGTGACGTGTACGCGAGCCACCGTGTTGCCGTAGGGTTGTTGACTGAGGCTCCACCGTGGCGGGATAGTTTGATAGTCGGCGATAGACGTAACAAAGGATAAGTTAAGTGAGTTTGGGGACAGACGGAGGAGAGGGGCGGGCGTTGGCGTTTTATCGCCGCGAGGAAATGTGATCCCCGGGGAGCGTATTGGTAATCCGCACGAGGAGGACGGCGGATCGACTCGTGGTGAAATCTATGAAACCTTATTACTCGAAATTTCGGTAAAGTTATCCACACTCGCGTCGCTATCGAACGTTACTGTCCCGCCGCCGGCTAGACCGGTCGACGGATATACGATTAAAGTCGACAACGGAAATTCGGGAATACCTTCCGCCAGCGACGATTTCGATCGCGCAAATCGATGACCGCGGGGTTTCCCGAGGCCGACGCGAAAGTATCCACGTGTGAGAGTCGATTTATTATGTTTGCTGAAAACAGCACAGAATAATGTGAGAAAAAAAATATTCTCTGCCCAAACAAAAAAAAAAGAACGTCGACATATAAAGAAATCCATTTTTACCCGAAAATATACGCAGAGTGTTCCGCGAACAAACCGACAAGCTTTGCCGGCATATTTGGAAAGTCACTCTGAACAAACAATGTAAACAATAGATCAGTTCAGCTTCGTTATCGACATAAATATATACAAAGGCGGTATTAACAAGTTGAATTGCTCGCAGCTTTGAATAAATTAGGACCGCGTGCGCGCATGTACTTCATATGGAAAAAGCCGAGTTTCAGGATGCTCCGCGAACACGAGGCCGCACCTCCCCTTCGTACGTGGGAGAATCGCGCCGGCGAATTCCACAACGGATACCGATTGGCGCGAATCGCTACCCCGTTGCCAGCACTTGACGCTAAACGCGTAGGCTTAGACGCGCGCGGCGGATGCCATTCGCTTTTGCAATTCAAATCACGGACAGATGCGGCGAGACTCGGATATGCGAGCGACACGTTTCTACCAGGAAAGCGTGAAACTAGCTCTCGCATCGCTACTATTGCCGCGTCTACATTTCAAGTAGGCTACATGTGCGTGAGCACGCGGCCGATTGATTAAGCTCCGCGTACACGCGCGCGCGCGCGCGCTACCGGTTCAACCGAATTTCAATATCCCGCTGACATTTCTAGCTGATGCAATAACAACCATACTCAGCATACGGGCGCGATAACAACGTCGGCCGCGGCACCTGAAGCTGAGGTGAACGCATACGTGACTTCGCCGGTAATCCGTCGAGTGTTGCGCGCTGATATCAATTAATTTTTCCAAACAATTTAACTGCAGATCGTACACGGTACGGTAGGGAAACGCGATTATCGGCACGCACGCTCGTTACCTCGTTTAATCCGCCTTCCCTCCGTGATATACGTAACTTTTCAAACGCAGTTCGTCTCGTTTCATGGGTAAATTAATGACGATAGTATCATCGCTGTGGCTTTTTCACCACCGGCCGGAAATAAACTGCCGAATTGATGAGTTTTATTTGAACTTTTACTGAATCCGCATATTCGGAGAATTACGTTCAATAGAGCGGAAGATGTGAACCGATGCATGAACGGTCTCAAAACCGGCGGCGTGTAATTGATAGGAAACACAACAAAGAAGAATGGCATTAATCTATATTACGTTATTATGTAAAGTAATCATACGTAATTGCTGCGAAACTTCGCGCGACATATACCGCGGAATGGGTGAGGTTATAGCTCTATTTTTTTATTTTAATATCACGAGCATATTTTTATAGTTAATATACAGAATAAATAATTTGCGAAAGGATTTTGTATTCAATTAATTCCCTGTGTCAGTAGTAAGGAGTTGAATTTTACCGACTCTTCGCGAGTTCGAATTTTCCTCCCTTAAAGTGAACTTGTAGCACCTTGCTGTAAATGCGCGTAATACCATTTGCGTCGTAGTTAAACACAGTAGTTAAGCGTGTTAGCTGCACCGCTAAGGTCGTAGAGTTTGAGTATTGTCTTTGTGTATGCACAGTTGTCTTATCAAGATTCGTTAACGTGCGCCAAGATAGTAGTAAGAGTGGAAATTTGTTCGAATGCTGAATATTCGCGTGAATTCCTGGATCCTCGGGAAAAAATGATTATATATGAATTTTCTCTATACGGCCCATATGTAATCAAATGTAATTACATATGTTCCACATCTATAAAGTGTTGTTACACAAGTATAATTGAAGTAAAATATTTATGTTTATATGACTGCCCACGATGTGAACACTTAATTAAATTCAACTGTTTCTTCCGTTTCTCATTCAACAATATTTTTATTTCATGTGGACATGTATAATTATATACGTTGCCGTATAGAGAGAAAATTCGTATATAAATCACATATAGTTATGTATAATCATACGTAATTTTATATGAGATTATATATAAACACTTTCCGGGTTTTACATTCGTGAATTTCTACCCTCGTAGGGAAATATACAAACGGCCGTTTTGCACCTCCCCTCCCCCCACTTCGAGGAGCGCGCGTTTTATTTTCCTGGCGCATTTAAAAGCTCGCTTGTTTTTCGGGAGAGGGAGGAACTAAGTAGGATGTAACTAGTCGTGTATCTCGGAGCGATATCTACATTCCAGAACTACTTTCACCATAAATCCCAAAGTTCGGGATTGGGCTTAGTATCCGGCAGCCCCAGAACCCAAGGGCGCACTTTTATCACGATGAATAATGTATAACCCAGTATGTAACAGAAACTACGCTCCCGCATGGAAAATAATTAATTCCACCCTTTCCAATGTAACGCGACGGAGAGCCGCTCGTAATCTACCGGCGACTTTACTAAATGGATTACATCAAGTAAATATACAGCGTTTAACTCGTCTGCTGATTCGACGTTATAATATTTGCAGGGAGTATTGAAGATACTGTTTCTAAGCTGCAGCATCGATAACAGGCCGAAGTCTTTTCGTCAATCTTTCCGACTCATGCAATATTCCCACCGGAGAAACAGACTTGCCCGGCCGAACGTATCCACGGCTTTTAAATTCCGCCGCGTAATTTTTTCCGCGTACAATTCCGGCGCAATTGCAAATGCGAACGAATAACAAGGGCCCATTGTTCACTCAATATATCGTTCGTGTAGAGCAAAGAGCAGGCTCGAGTTGGCGAGTGTTGGCTGAAAATTTGCCGGTGAAGTCCGGAGGCGGTTTACTTGGCGCGCATTTTCCCGGGAAAGAGCTGAGTATGCTTACATTTTAATTCCACGATAATGGAAGCCATCCGCCGCCGGATCAAATCCATCTTGCGGGGAACGCGTAAGTACCCGACAGGGCGGAATAATCATGTTAAAATTTCGAGACGAGAAGCGACGTGGAAACAATGATTATTAATCGTCTAATATTTCCCGATCCGGATCCCATTGAGCGCTCGCCAACGGCGGCGGGGGTGCGATCGCTGATTCAACAACGAGCGTATGAACGGCGCGCCCACATATGGACCGGCATGAAACGATGAGAAATCGCGATAGGCCTCCGCAAAATTTCTCATTTTCGTCGGTCCCGCGGACTGGCGCGTTACAAAGCGCCCGGCACTATGTTATCCGGACGGCAGTATTAATTTTGTCAGATGATCATTAATAATGCTCGCCGCAGTCGCGGAGTGCCGGCAAGGCCGGCCCGGTAAAACCCGGGACGGAAAAATGACGATAAAAAAGCGACCGTATAATATGCCTAGAAGCGTCGTATTTTAACGACTTAAGCATAGTTAAGAGGATCTCGACGAGACGTCCGAGGAACGTCAAAACGTGAAGCGGTCGAGCGGCAGCCCCGTGGCTAGTTAGCGATGTGTTAATTAACATGTATATGCCCAACTTCTTTCACGCTAAGCGGCTTGGCTCGTTATCATCCGGAGATTTGCACTTCTGCAATTTCTTATCTTCGCGATATATATTATCAGAAAGGAGTGTCTCGCGCTGCGCGAAAAGCATTGTAATACGTGGCGTAAGGTAATCCGATAAATGGCGAATGATAAGTTCCCTCAAACAGAAATACCGAAAAGATACCGTGTTAATGCGGTCTTACGCGAAAATTAAAGTAACGGACTTCGCACGCCAAAAGTATTAAAGTATTATGTATAACGCAGGGTAAGGGTTGAGTAATAATTAGTTACTCGGTAAGAGTTAAATTAAAAAGTTAAAAAGTTAATAACTTTTTTAAATTTTATATGAACATATTTTCATAGTTAATGTACAATATAAATAGCCTACTAAAGGATTTTGCATTCAATTAATTTCTATATTTGTAGTATCGAGTTGAATCTTAAAAAAGGTTAATAACTTAATTATTTTTTAACGAGTTACTTTAAAATTGCGTTAACTTTAATTTGATAATTTTTATATTTTTTATGTTAAGCACTAGTGTTCTTTTCTGGTATGGAATGCTGAGTACAAGACAGTCGTTACTTTCTTATAATAAACTACCTTTTCTTTATTTAACATAAACATGCAACATTCAATTTAAAAGTTAACTGTGCAAAAAAACATATATATATATATATATATATATATATATTTACTTAATAAACCTTTAAATTTAATAAGATAATTTAATATTAACTTTAATTATATTAATTATAATTATATAAGCTTTTAACATAAAAGTAAAAATTAATTTACCCAAGTTTGATATAATATAACATGATTTTGCATTAATGATTGGGAACATGGATGTGAATATGTCTATTTTATTTCTGACTGGACACTCGTACAAATGAAATATGATATTTCGAGTGTAACACAGTTCGAAGGCATTAATACGACGTATTACCATCGTTGCGGAAAATATATTTCGTTGTGGGAGATGGAGGCCTTCGGGCAAAAATGGAATATTATATATTTATTGTTCGTAAAAGTGCCGACTGTTTTCACATTTACAAATCCCACGCAAAATTGATATCGTGTGCATTTTTTTCCCTGCTATATTATTATTGCCCCAGGGTTAAACTGACTACTGGTTTTCACGCTGGCCGCTGCGACACGATATGTGAAAACAGCGTCGGTCATACATTCATAAACGATTGACGGCACGATGCATCGCGACTCCGCAATGGCGCCGTGCTGTCATCGTGCGAGAGTACACGCAACAAATTATTGCGACCGTCATCCAGGGTTGCGCGCAGGGGGTGTAGCATAAATCACGCGCGAATTAGCGCGACGCCGAGTCCGAAATATCTTTCCGGATGAACTGGCCGCCGTTTTACACAACGTCGATATCGAATATTTCAGCTGTCCATCGCTAGAGATCCATCGCGATCCTCGAATATTCCCATTTATAGTTTAACCATCGACGGTCATAATATAGCATCAGGCGGTATTTATGCAGTATCGACTTTTGTACAGAGAGGAATGAGACTGCGGGATCGCGAGCGAATTATTGCACGCAGATATTTCATCGGTTAGAAGAATAAGTGCAAATGCAACAATTTTCGATGAATTACGCCTGCACGATAGAGGGAAAGCTGGAAAACTGACATAGGCATGGTAAACCGACATACGTTTCTCGACTGTAATTATTTACTTGAATCTGACGTTTTCTTTCTTTCTAGGTATGTCGGTTTTGAGACCTAGAAACATCAATCCTCGAATATTCTGGCAGGAAAATGCCTACCGATTTGCACCCATGCACATAAATACTACTTTTGCACTTTCAACAATAAGACTTTAAAGCCCGAAAGCAAATCGGTACGCCGGGTTTTCGTGCTTTTCCTTTAGCTAATCGTATCACGAGGTGTAAATATTCGCGCAGATCGCCGCCCGTTGGGAAAGTTGCTGACTCGACGAGACCTTGATCGCGACAATTTCATTCCCGGCTGAGACCAACTTGAGAATAAATCGCCGTGAGAAACGGTCAATGCGTCGTGCGGCGTTTCATGCTCCTCGCGATTGAGATTTACTGCAGTCTGGTCGCCGAGTTTTCCGACGATACGGCGGCTCGATACGTGCAAGACATAAAACAAACGTTACATCCCGGGAATGAGAATCGGTGTTCGCGTGAGCTACGAATGTCGGCTACGGGTGTATAAAATGTGTCTTGCCGACGGTCGCGCGTGATAAAATCGCCGTGTAATGCGCGACGTCCGCGGAAAACACGTACGTAACGCATCGTGGCGAGCGCTTACGCACGCGGACGGGCGCGGAAGATAGGACAAGGGATTTCGCAGGTTCCCTATCGCGTTTCCAACCAAGAGAATATATCCACGCGTCCTCGGTGTGCAGCGCAAGCCGGAAATAAATCTGCCCGGACTGCCGCCACGGCGTGCGGCGAGCGGCAGACGCTGAAAAAGCAGTTAGATATCGCGTCGAAAGTGCGTATGCACGACTTTCGCTCCAGGCGGCTTCGTTGAATCGGGGCCGACATTTCGCTCAGCCACGTCAGCTATTCCATCGGCAGCTCCTCGTGTCTAAATAATTTGTCGCACCTGCGAACGCGCCCAGCGACCGAGTGCACAAATGCGAGGAGCTGCGATATTCACACGACACATGTGCTCCTCCGCGCGTCCGCTTTCACTCGGTCCGATCGGAAATTCCGATAAGAAGAATGTTTCGTGGGTATAATTAGATTATTAATCGGAATTTTCTGTGTACGGCCGACCGATACTTATCGTCACACTTTTTATACAATGATAAAAAAAGATGCGTGCAATATTTTACAATATCGTGTTACATTTTAATGCATCTTTTGGTTTAAAAACAATTCTAGTCTTATGTTTCTTTATACACAAAATAGTTATTCAGGTGTAAGCAAAATCGTGCATAATAAAACAATTGGCTAAAAAAAATCATTTAATATCACAGCGCGTTACTATAAGCCATTTCGTATATCTAATTAACACGATACCAGCAACCTACTGTAGAAAAGAATACTCTCTTTTATTTATTAAATGAAATATATCAGCTTTATAGTAATTAACCCAGGCAACTTCTAGCTCCGATCTCGCCTATTTCTCCATGCATCTGCGACACGTTTTCATTCTTTTCGACTAGAAATTGCCGATTGAAAGAATGTAAAAGAAGGAGAACATGTTTCATATTTAATTAGATTTCCAATTCGAATTTTCGATGTATGATTGGTGTTTTAATTTCCGATTATTCCTTTATATATTTCACCAATTTATCTTTCCTGCTTCACAGAAAGCTGACCTCGCAGTCGGCTCGATGACGATCAACTATGCACGCGAGAGCGTCATCGACTTCACAAAGCCGTTCATGAATCTGGGCATCTCGATCCTCTTCAAGGTAAGAATGACGTCTCGCCGGTGCTTGTGCTTATCTCGCGGTTTCGAGACCGGCCGTTGTTGTAAAACGAAATTCATCTCGTTACAAGGCAGCAATTATTCGCGCTCGACTCGGCGGCCGGCCAGGTGCGCTTAAACGAGCTATCTTGTATAAGCCACCCACCTTAATCCCGCTTGAAATGGCGCCGCTCCGATAGCTCATATTTTTATTTCGTCCGCATCGCGCGGCATTGTTGCGGCGGATCTTGATTCTTTCACCCACCCACCTTTGTTGATCTTTCTCCTCATCCTGTGTATTTTTCCACGCCGCGCATCTGTTATTCTTATTTGCTTTTTTCCTTCCCCCCCCCCTCTCTCTCCCCCGTTGTATAACCCCGCGTTGTTGTTCGGGCTATTTTTATTTGGCAGCCGACGAGCGGTGCGAACGCGCTCAAGAATCAACGCGACGTCCGTGAAAGTTTTGCAGCGTTGAATAATAACGCATCTCCGTCGATATTTCGTTCCCGAGGCGTATCCACCCTCCTTCCTCTAAATACGCGTCCGACCATGCGAAGCGAAGTATCCGATAAAGATGATCTCCCGTGCACGTTATCGAGGTTTTTCCGGCTTTCATCGGCTCGATGGCGGGTTTACCGGGGGGATAATTTTATCCGAGATAACACCCCATCGGTGGACGGAAGGGGAGCCACTATTCACTGTAACTGTAAGTTCGTCTGACTTCGGCGCTGCCTGGCCATAACTAGCACTTATCTACTTACCCGTGAAACGACCGATGCTTGATAACGGTCGTGTCCCCCCGGATAAACCCTCCCCTACTTGACCAGGAGCCAATTAATAGTTCCACGCAAATGCCGAGCACTCTCGTATAAAAGATCCGCAGTAGTTACTGACTGTACGTGGTCAGACACCGAGTCCGCCTTATACAATTCGACCGACCCGGATATATCATCTCGCGTTCACGAATATTTTCCGGCCGGCAATCAGATATCGTGTTTGTTTGCTTAAACCCACCGTCATTACGAATAATCATTGGCTAAACAATGTTTAAAACGATATTTTAATTACATAACGATTATGTAACATGGCAATTGTTAATATAATCACATGCAAATGTACACACAAAATATATTAAGTTTAAACTATGTATTGTTGTTCCAACTCTAATAATAAATTTAATAATAACACCGATCAATATAATGAAATCACATTAAAGTTTATCAAATCACTCTAAACAAATTCAGTCTGTTTATTAAGAGCGTGGCTGGGCAAACTTCTGTTTGAGAACCGTTACATCGGAAATTATTGGACGAGTAAATAGAAGAATTTTCCCCTATAACGCATTATGTAGGGAGTCTCAGTTAATATACGACTTTCACCAGAGAACGGCGTATTTAACGATGAGTGCCGCGTGCAAAAGAATTTGAATGCCTTGCGATTCGAGGGTTAATTGTGACATAATATCTGTGTTACTTCTCAGCGTATTCATCTTGTGTTAAATTAACGCAAAATTTTTTACTGTGTACGCTAAAATTGGTACGCTGTAAAATTGGTGAGAAGCATGTCTTGAAGGTGTCGGACAATAATTAACAACGCCGGTGATTGGGCAACTCAATAATATAAAAGCGTTGTAGTACTGACTATGTAGTATGTATATCATTCTCTTTTCATTCTTTCATAATAAGTAGTTTTCTTATAATAAAAAGTTATGCATCACGCTCTTAGTGAACAGACTGTGTGTAAAATACGCGTTTACTGTTGGCAGGAACTCCCTCACGCTAACTAACTCGCAATAGTGTGCTGTTTTAAAAGGCCCCGCACATTGTACGTACAATGGGAATAGTTCTACCGTGCTCGCTGCAAATTCGGATTCTCCAGGCTCATTCCGCGATTGTAAAATAGCGCAGACGCCGGCATTACTCCGCGCCCCGCGATGCATCCGCTCGCATCACAGCGTGTGCACACGTGCGTTCTCGCTTATAACGACGTAGCATGTGTCGCCGAGATGTCGAAGAGGGGGCAGCAGACTAATTAGAGCAACTCGCAAGTGATGGCGCGTAGATGATTTAATAATCTGAATGTGTCACCGATCGACTCACGCGTCGAATTAGCGAGCGGGTTAATTTGATATTTGTTCGACGACCCGGTTTTCCCGTCGTCGACTCCTCCATCCGTCTGTCCGTCCTTCTTCCTCCACCTGACTCCCTTCCCATTTCCGCTGTTCGACGTCTCCATCCTCCCTCGATTCTACTTCATCACTTGCGCGAACCTTTAATTATTCTCGCAACGTCGTTCGGCTGTCTCTCTCTCTCTCTCTCTCTGGACTCGCGAATTCCAGACGCACAATCGATTCGGACGACAGTACAGGGATCCCCGAAGTTTCGACTGGCGCTAAATAATTCGGCATGCCGAGATCCTGCTTGGAGTTAGTTTCTCGGGCAGCTGCACTTTGTGCCGTAACGAGTGGTAGGATTCGCTTACTCCGAAGTTAATAATGTCACTGGCCCGACAGCGGTACCGGCGCCCGGGCGCGACGGGGATGATACCGTGGAGAAGTTAATTCCTCGAGCTTTCGTAATAAAATTTTCGCGACGACGATCGGCTCGCCCCATCGCGCCAGACTCGCCTCCCCGCCCTCGTCTCTAATTTCTCGGCTTTCCACAGGAAACCCGATCGGACGGTCGGGGCCGGCGAAATTTACGGTCCGTTTCTATTCGGTCTCTCCCACGCCTTCGTTATCCCGTTCCCTTTAGCGTCATTTCTTCTCCTTTTCCTCTCCATTCACGCGCGCTCTCGATCCACCCTAGCGAAATCTGTATAATTTTCCACCGTTGTACACGCCGAAACGGCGTTCAGCGAGTCATTTTTTATCCCCAACTCTCATCGAGGCGTCGTATTAATAACGGAGTTAAAGAATCAGCGTTATTAAAGTCGACGCGCCGTCGGACCGACTGTTAAGCACCGAAAGGGTCTTTACTCGGAAATGCAATATTTCTGCGTGAGAGCTCGATAAAATTAATCATCCCGCTTTTGCGATAATTAATAACCCGATCGACTGCGATTAATATTGCTGTGGCGTCCTCTTTAACGACAGCTCTGGGATCGTCGATGTGTGTCACTTTTTATCGATTCGCCAGTGAACATTCGTTTTCGGGCTCTGCGAACGAAAAAAAAAAAAGAGAGGTCATCGCCGGCGAGTTTTCGTGTCGTTAACTGAAATCTGCAAAGTATGTACGAGTTTGATTGCTCGCCGCTTTTTACGGATTACCCGTCGAAATTGTGTGTTACGCGCACCTCCATTGCGCGATCATCTCCTTTCACCTTTCCATTACACGTTCGCCCTTTTCACCGTCATTCGCAACGTATGCGTAGACAATTACGATAATAATAGTCGATTTAGAGGCGATTACATATATTGTCTATCCGAAGATTCGCCGCGACGTTAATGCGCGAAGTTCGAGCGAAATTGCTCGGCTCCGCCCGCCGTGGCGCGAGTCAACTGCTTAATGAAGATAATTAAGCGAATCACCGTTACCAAGTCAGGCGGTAGTGACGTGATAATCTGCCGTCGCAAATGATTGGCGGATTAATTATACATTACGTGTCACACTCGACAGGACCCTCGCGAAAGATTCTCGCGCGTGTCGTCGTCGTCGTCCGGTTTGAGAGGAGAAACACCTAATATATCGTTTCGTTTTTCCATATTTTTAATATACCGTTTTCCTCTAAAGCCTTGTTCAAGGTGTAAAGTTGACATTTATGCGCATGGATGCAAACCAGAAACCCTTACGCCGATATTCGCGGCAAAAAGGCTGATAAATCCGCCGACAAATCCCGTCGATCGAAATCGATCGGACGTTTGCAACGTCGTAGCTGCGCCGCTACGAAACTCGCTGTGCAATTACATTCCCAACTAACTGACAAGGCGCGAAAACCCGTTAAGTGGATCTTTCATAAATTGATTAAAACGATGGGAGCTTTTTCACCAGGCCGATGATAGGTTGCCCTCCAATGCGGATTGAAGACCCGCGCTTCCGGCCGAGAGGGATTTTCCTCTCCGGCACTTGGATGGAAGTCTCTTTTCGTTGATTGCACCAATCGACGTCGAGCGGCAAGTGCGCTCTCTAATTAATGTAAGGCGATCATTTAATTGCAATTAATGTTGCAGCCGGCAGCCGTCCCCACTCAAAGCATCCTTTAATCATCCCGCCGCCCGCGTCGCGATCCCGCACCGATCATCATACTTACACCGTCGTATAGCCGTGTCGTCGGGTACACCAGATATCCCGAGCGGTTAAACGTTAATATCGCGAATTCTTCGCGCACACGGATCTCGCATCCGGCATTTTTGCGGATCGATCGAACTTTTTTTCGCTATTTCTCTTCGTCGCCGACCGCCGGCGGTGCTTTAAACGCGAATTCTCTCGCCCGAATCAACGTCGAGAGCAAATGTGAAGTTTTACATCAACTAATTTCATCCGCGCGAAAGTTATCGGTGGCGAGGAAGTATCTGATGTTAAGTACTTAGCATCCGACGATATACAACATGAATAAAAAATCTGCCTTTCTCTCCCTCTCTTCCTCCCGTTTCTTTCTTTCAATAACGTAAACTCACCGAGCTCTGGATGCTCATTATTTCAGTGTATTATAAATGCATACTTCGTATAATCCGTATAACATATTAATCAATATTTATGCAATCAACTCGTAGAAGTTTATGTGTGTAATAAAAATGTATAAAATGATCGGAGTTATATTTTGCGTGATAAATAATAAAAACGCATAAATAGATTCTACAAAAAACGTGTAAATTAAAAACATATAAAATTACCATGTGGAAAGCTGAAGTGCGGACGCATATGATACGTAAAAAGCTGACTTGCAAATTATATTGAATTGTAATTTCAGCTCGAATAAATTCAATCGCTACATCGTTTGCGTTAATCAATTTCAATATCGTCATTTACTCGGTGGTAATTAAGATCAAATTAACACCCATTAAATTAGTCATACTAGAAATTTCTCTTTTCACCATCGCGATGCATATCGCCGTACAGTCGGCCGTAGTTGGATTAATTAGGCCACATCGATGAACCTCCCTCTCTTTTATACGTGTAATAACGAGACATTCGGCTAATTGAAACAAACCTGCCGTACAAATGTCCAACGATATACCTTGTAATTAAAGTGTTTTAACTCTTTCCTAAATAGCCAATTAACTTTTAAAAGACTACGACCACGAGGGATTTTTATCTCGATGTCAGATAATATCGTGAAATCAATTTTATGTGCGCGCGCGTTTTGCGTTATGTAAAAATAAATGCTTTCACTTGTGTTAATCCGCGATAGGAGAATTGACTTCGCTAAGTTCCTGAGAGATTTCCGAGAACTATTTTTGTTGTCGAATATTAAACATTCTTTCTTCCCCCTCCCTCACAAAGCGTTTCCCGCGGCGAATGAAGGAAACGTCTACCTGAAATCCTTTACAGGTGCCAACCAGCCACCCGGCACGGCTCTTCTCCTTCATGAATCCACTGGCGATCGAGATCTGGCTGTACGTCTTGGCGGCTTACGTTCTGGTGTCGGTGACGATGTTCGTCGTAGCACGGTTCAGCCCGTACGAGTGGAACAATCCCCATCCGTGTCACGCCGGGCAGGAAGTCGTCGAGAACCAATTCTCTCTATCGAACAGCTTCTGGTTCACTATCGGGACTCTCATGCAGCAGGGCAGCGATTTGAATCCCAAGGTTTGCGCTCGTCGATCGATAATTCATTGCTCGAATACTGCAAATATTAACGTTAGTAAACTCATCCATGATATATTGCGCGAAATTGCATGGAAAGTCGTTTAGCGACCAAAACGTGGACGAAAATCACATCGTAAATTGCGTTATGTTCAAATCAACGTCGCAATTACTTTCACGAACGAGCTAGTCGATATCGTTTGGAACTATCAATGGCTGTTCTATCCTGTTTCTACGTGAAAATGAACAGACCCGAGGTTGAATTGTGGCGCAATTGGAGGCGCATTTCGATGAGGCAATGCGTATACGCGTTCTTAAAATATTAATGCTGCATAATTATGATTGTAATTTTCGCAACGTCGTTGGTATATATTTTCATATTTATTTCCTAGCATACGATAAAGACTAATGTTTGTCCATTTGTTGAATTCAGCAGAGAATGTCGAACAATATAAATTAAAAATTTTTTTGCTACCTTTTTCGTGTAAAAACGAGATAGATTTTCTGTTAGGATTATAAAAACGAATAATTAAAGAAATTATCGTCGTTGCAATTTTAAGACCATGTTACGAGATATCTACACTGCAAAACGATATAATAGTGTTTCGTAATTATAATTAAAGACTTAATTAGGGACTAGTAAACCTTAGAAATAAAATAAGAATGTCTTAATAAATATAAATCCGCAAACTAGTTACTTTCGAAATGTTTTTTCCACTTTGTAGCCGCTGTAAGTCGTTTGACAGCTGATAAAAATGAACGCAAAATTTGCAATAACCGATCGAACCAATTGGACACGCATTTGTACTTCTCGCCTTTCCGTTATGCGTGGTGAGATAAAATCGATAAAATCCAAAAGGGAATCTGTCCTACAGGCTACGAGCACGCGTATCGTAGGTGGCATATGGTGGTTCTTCACTTTGATCATCATCTCGTCATACACCGCAAATCTGGCGGCTTTCCTTACAGTGGAGAGAATGATCACGCCTATAGAGAACGCCGAGGATCTCGCCAGCCAAACGGATATCGCGTACGGAACCCTCGATAGCGGAAGCACGATGACTTTCTTCAGGGTGATTAATATTTTATTATCTACGTAACATGAATACGGGAAACAAGTACTCTTGACGACGCAAGATCTCTTGAGAATTGTAACTTGCTTATCTCACGGGGAAATACCGAACCCTGTTGAAAATTTCCAGATAGATTCCCACGGAAATCCGACCCATGTGAATCCATATAGAATATCAAACATTCATGCAGGAGTCCACATGGTTTTGTGAAAATTCATGTAGGATTCCGTGTGGATTCCGTAGGGCCTAGATTTTTGGCGTAAATCTCCAGGGACGCACCCAACCGTTATATGGTTTCCTATCTATTTTTGTCTTTCAACGGGGAATATTGCCTATGATTATACTCCCTGCGATTATGACCTACGAATTAACGTTAAATTTGCAGTGTGCGCTTACGAAGCGAGGATTGCGCGAGACAGTCGCGCGATCGATGCGAAAGTAATTATCTCGCAATTATTATGATAGTCACTGCGGTTCGCACGAAGTTGAGGCTTTTTACTACGTCCCGTCTTTCCCGCTCCCGGAAACTTTCTCTGGCAGTTAATTATAAAATAATATTTGTCGGTTTTACATGTGCCTGTCGCAATGACGATACTGATCATGGCGACGACGTTGACGACGGCGATGAAATCTGTTCCTCTGTACGTGTCGATTTCTCGATTGAAGGACTCGATGATCGAGACGTACAAGAAGATGTGGCGATTTATGGAAAACAAGAAGCCATCTGTGTTCGTCCCGACTTACGAAGAAGGCATCCAACGGGTTCTTCAGGGCGACTACGCCTTTCTCATGGAGTCAACCATGCTGGATTATATCGTTCAGAGAGATTGCAACCTCACGCAAATCGGCGGGCTCTTGGACACCAAGGGATACGGAATCGCCACACCTATGGGTGAGCTTAACGATCTTAATCAGTATTTCCTTCTGTCCCGAACTTCAATCTACGCGTTTCGTTACGTTCGTCGGAATTTATAACCGCGTATTCATACCGTGATCCCCTTTTGCGCGATCCTCCTCCAAGATAAACCGCGATATTATTTAAATCAGGCAATAGTGACATTTTTTTTCTGCCATGAGTTGTAATTCGAACGGTATCTGTGAAAATATCTCTTTGCCTTCCTCCCGTTACAATTTCCAGGCTTATCATATCAAATATCCATATTGAGAGGAAATTTAAACAGCTTCGCTTACACCCCTGATGTTTGTGCATTTTCCATTTGAATGAGACGCAATTCCAACGGTACATGGAATGAAAGAAATCGATCCTGTTTACAATGAAATTGTAAATCGATATGTATACGCGCTCTCAAAAGTGGTGTATGATTCCGTAAAAATTCCGCAGGCTCCCCATGGCGGGATAAGATATCTCTTGCGATCCTGGAGCTGCAAGAGAAAGGCGAAATTCAGATGCTGTATGACAAATGGTGGAAGAGTCCCGGGGATACTTGCATGAAAACGGAAAAGGGAAAGGAGAGTAAAGCCAACGCTCTGGGCGTCGACAACATAGGTGAACGCTTCCCCCAGAATAGCGCGTGGTCTAAATTATATGCGCCATAAGCTCCGTCCTAAAGTCGTAACTTACGAATGCCTCGTTATAGCCGTAGACACGTTTTATTGTCTTCGTTATCTTATTATTCTTGTGAAAACAACCCCTGTGTTCTTTTATTCCTTATCTTTTCTTTTTTTACGAGGTTCATCGTTCGACAGTTTCTCCAAAACAAAGTGTGTATCGAAGTAAAAATATGCGGAGCTCTCAGTACTGTTAACTGGCTAATTATTGCGAAATTGCACGTACGAAAATTTTCTTTATTTTACTAAGTAAAATAAGCTTCGACGAAGTAAAATATTATTTTCCTTTATTTTACTTTAATCATAGAAATTTAATAATAGATATTGTTTAATAATAGAAAATAGAAATAAAATACATGCAAAAAGTTGCGCGCGTGATATGTTCCGCAGACATAATTCCTTCGTAAATCTAAACACTTATTTTTTCATCACTTACACGAATCGAGATATTCGCATCGCTGTCTCGGAGTTTCCTATTAACAGCTCGATAATCACCGTGCTTCGCGTTCCTTGTTAGGAGGAGTCTTTGTGGTCTTACTCTGCGGCTTGGCATTCGCCGTGCTCATAGCGATTTTCGAGTTCTGCTACAACTCAAGGAGAAATGCGCCGGCGGAACGGGTGAGTTCATCGACCGCAAAAACTAACATCGGAGCACATTTCATTAAATTGTCGGCACGTTCAAGCTGCACGATTTCTACTCGCCGATATCGCGATTCGAACTCTCGACAGAGGCGATTTTCCAAAGTATAAAAATTAATCTGTTAAATTAAATAATTAAATAAATCTTCCTAAATATAACATTCAATCTGTCATTGCGAAAATCGATTTATTTCTGATCTTTTTTCTTCTCTCGGAGATGACTTACAAATCACACACAACAGATGTCGTATATCATAATGAAGAACGGAAATTACATTTCCGATTTCCAAAAGTAGCCGATCTGTCCGAGAGACTATCGATCGCGGTAACCGGCGAATTGGAGAAGCACGCATGATCGTAGACGTAAACATTGCATGACGTTCTCTTTGTTTCATCGCGACGTCATGGATTTCGCCGCATCAGCATGAACTCATCGTCCATTGAAGCATGCCGCTCAACTGCAAGCATCCCAAGCCCGGTTGCAAAGAAAGGTCCGTTCCGCCATCAAGAGAATTTCTTACCAACTTTACGAATCTTTTCTCTGTTTTGTTTCCTTTGCCTGTCTCATAAACCCGCATAAACCCGCGCGTTTCCTCAAATATTGGTTTTAAATAATACCTGTTGCGCAATGTCCCCGATCGTTTTCGTGTGTCAGAGCGTTCTAAAGTCGGCGGAGAAGTGAAATCAATTTGGCGTCAGTGAGAAACTCGAAACGTGTTGTATGACGGCCCCAAAATAATTCAAGTCTCGAGACTTCGTCAAGAGAGAGAATCGAAATTTGAAAATTCAAATTTCACGTAGAATAACGCTACATTTCGCTTCAGCCGGCTCTAAGACGCCTTGTACACCGCAATGCATCATAATAAAGCTCCAAGTGTCAAACAAGCAACACGCGCGAATAAATCGTCGTTATCCGCTGCCACTGATGCAGCCAAGGCCTCCGATTTCGACGCCTCTCACCGGCTCTCTGCAGGGAATTTCTCAGACCGTGCAGCAACAGCAGCAACAGCAACAACAACAATGTCAGCAGTTGCATCAGCAGCAGCAACAAGCGAGTCAACAGCAAGAGTCGCTCTGCTCGGAGATGGCACGCGAGCTGTGTCGTGCTTTACGCTGCCACGCGTCGTCTCGACGACGTCGACGCACCTGCGACAAATGCACGCACGTGATCGGCTATCCGCCGGATAATCCCACTGCCACTCCCATAAACGGGATGAGGTCACAGGTAACGATTTTCGAATTGTTCCTCGACTATCGATCGCACTGGTCCGCTCTGGTCGATCTATTATATAACTCGCGCAAGGCGCGGAACGGAATTTCACTTAGAATTCTTTGCGCCGTGTATATAATGTGGAAAATATTTCAATATTACTGAAAGGCTGCGAACTTTATTTACAAGTGCATCGACAAATTCGAAATCGACTTTCCCCTGATGGAAATTTCATCGAAACGCCATATTTCTATATTTAAACGTTAAACGTTCGATTTATTAAGAACAAGCGTGGAAATTAATATCTTTCTTTCATGTACATATAAATGTTAAACGACAACATCCGGAATCTTATGAATTTGTTAGGACAACAATAAATTGTCCTAATGCCCGTCTTAGCTGATTACGCACAATATTCGATTATTATGTCTGGGCAAATTGCGAGTTAATCTGGAGATGAGAAAAACTGTACTTACAAATTTGGTTATGATATTAAAATGTTTTGCCGAATGTTTCCCGCGAATTTTCGAAATTATTTGAAAAGCACTTTTTACGCGCTTCCCGCGAAAATTCATCATGCAATGCGAAACTTAGTTTCATTTATCCGAAACCGACTTTATATCGTATTACATCGTAATCGTTATCCGGAGAGAAGTCGATTCCGCGCTCTATATCGTTATTCAATTATATTTTATACTCACCGGCCCCTTTTACTCTCCCGCATTCATTAAATTCATAATTGCATTGAAATGTTCTTTAATTAACGTGTCCAGTGAGCGGATTTATTCCCCAGCAGGACAGAGCGACGCGAAATTTATATATACACTACCCCTCCATTCTTTCTCTAATGAATAATTCGATGCCGCAAGATGAAGGTTTTACCGGCGCGCGATTAAAGTATTAACGGGACTTGATTGAATTTCGTTAACAGCATTTTTCGACTCGGTACTTCAGCAATTAATCGATTAGTATATTCTAAGAAATGTTCTCCGTAAATAAAAATTATTGTTATCGTTTTTTATAGTATTAAAAGTTCGGAAAAATCCCGTATTTTTCCATTTTCCTGCGAAAGAAACCGAAAAAACCCGCGGAAAAATTGAAATAAATCAGTCTTTTTTCCATCTTTCTACGAAAAAAAAAACTGAAAAAATTCGCAGAAAAATTGAAAAAAAAATTAAAAAAGAAAACACAATTTACAATTTTAAGGAACCCATAAATATCAAAAGCATTGAAAGAGAGATATTTTGATGTTAGAACTCCATATCACAAATGTTATGTTCAAAACGACTGAAGTGAATAATAATTAAATAATTAATATCCGATGAAGCAATTAAAATGTTGAGATATTATGACGTGAATGGTCGTGTATAATGACGGTATTATTCGGGATAGAGGTTGAATTTCCGAAAATGGCACGCACTATTTTCGGGCTCCGCGACGTAATTAACGTCGTTTGTAACTGTTATTTACCCATCGCGTTGCAGAGAAGCAGCCTGGCCGTACCCGTAGTCGAACTGCCTCCACACATCCACCTGCATCATCACGCACCGCCGCACGATTACAACGGCAATTAGAGCTGTGAGACGTCTTCGTCGAGACGAATCAACAGCGACACTAGTCATAACCCAGGAACAAGTACAAAAAGCGTATCAGGCATCGTGAGAAGCGGCAAACGTCGACCCCCGTGTCGAATCATCCGTCAAGAAGCACGAGAGCGTTCACTTTTAGATCCCGACGCATTTTTGCACAATATCGCGGAAGCGTTGTCGACATTTTACAATCACGAAGAGAGCTTAAACTCATTTATATATCGAACGTGCGCCGCTTTTCCGCACATTTGACAAATTCGTCGAAATTGACGCGATGAAACGGCGTAATCGATGAAACGGTAAAACGACTCCGAAGTGGCCTCTGTCATTCGCGAATTTCGTACTGTTCGTCAGCCCGCAGGGCATTGTAATTATTCCGACGCGAGATCGATAGTGTTCATCGCTTTATCCGCGAAATTTTCGTGTACATTGGGGTAACGTAACACGAGGCTACCCGGAAGGGACGCGAAAAATTTTTAATTAACGAATTGCAACGAAATGTAGTCAAGTTCCGGGGGAAATTTCCTTAGGCACCGTGTGTGATCGAGATCGATATTCAGTTTAACCGGTTCGGATATTCGAAGGGTCTACGCTGTCCCCCGGGGAACTTCGGCGTATTACAAATAATCGTTGTAATATTTTCGCTTGAGCGATTTTTAGCATACGTCGAGACCGACGGTTCTGTAAAGGGTTGTAAAATTCACGAGAAAATTCACGATGTACAAAACGGAAAGGAGAAATAGTACATCTCTTTTTCCCATGCTCCCCTCTCTCGAGACAACACGTAGGAATTTTCTCGGTAAATCGATCTTGCTTCTGAAAATTTTATTTCTAGCGTAAACGGGTCTCGCTTCGAAATCGGATCTTGCGTTATTGCGAAACGATCGCCGCGAGTTAGCGGTCTGTGACGCTAAAGACGTTTAATCATACTTCGATTGATACGATATCGTTAAGATCACTCAAGAGATATCACTTAAGAGAGAGTAGTACGCTGAACCTAGGGATAGACGATGAAAAAACCTTCCGTCCTACGTCCAGAGACGCAGCCATCCGTTTATATCCACGATGGTGATCAACGATGGCATCCGCCGTTGAGCACGTTCACGCTACTCTCGCACGAGATCCGACGTTCGATCTATGCACAGAATGACGTTCGAACACGCCCTGTTAATAATAATAAACGCGTTCTCTTACCACGAGAGACAACCGGGATGCAGCGCATAAAGTGTAATAACCAAGGTACTCGCGAGGTGTTCTGTAAATATCGCCGCGGAAGAAACAAAGAGAGAGAAACGGATGATCGCAACGGGAGTATTTTATGCAAAAGTGGACGAGTGAGTAATCGTTAGCGCTAACCGAGTACAACTTAGACGTTTGGTGTTATGTAACGTGTGTGTTGTATATGCTGATAGACGGCGAATAAATGTAAGATGAGAGAACGGACGTATCGTTGTCTTCTTGCTCCGCACCTATTCGGACTGCTGAGACTAGAGATGTGCGAATCTAGCATCTACGTGGTCGAATCGAATCTTTAATAATATATTCGCACACCTCTATGTGGATACGATTCAAATTAAGAGATCCGAAATAGCCCGGTAGACTGTGAGGTGCGATCTATGAGAAAATGTGCAATGTACAAAAAAAAAAACTCACCGAGGCGAAATATTTCCTCCTTCCCGAGGCAAGGAAACATCTCATTCGGTAAATCGTCTCTTTTATGAAATTACAGAAAATTAATTTATAGCAAAAGTTTATCTACTATTATAAGCACACACAAGCGGAACAATCATGAAAGACGCAACGAACGATACACAACAGAACAACAAGAAATTTAAGAAATACATTTTCCGGACGACTCACGCAAGCTTAGATCGGGTGGGTCGCAAAAAACAGGTACGACGCTCGGTTGCCTTTTTTATATAACATCATTTATTAAGGGATAAAATAAATGACAAATAACATATCACTTATATGAAACTATAATATTTCTTAGTGTTCATTATTCGTTATGATATAAAAGAAATCACATCACATATACAACCCCCCGCGCATACGGCGGCGATCGCTCGGTCGCTCGAATCCTCGCGTACACGACGCACGACGATACGCGAACAGGATGGGTCCAGCTGTCGTCGGGGGACGCGCGAATGACCGGGGGAACCGCGAAAAGTTCCACGGTATTCCCGGACGGGCCTCGAAGAGAAGAGAGGCCGAGCGTACTCGCGACCGGTCCATGATAAGATTAGGCTACGACCGCGACGCTTAATCGAATCAACATGACCGGGATGTCACGGCGAGCTACGCGAGCGAGGAATTCCCCGAGATGTGTCCTCTCGACGAGGACTTTCTCGTCGTCGTCGTCGGTGAAACCGACAACTCCGAACACAGGACACGTCGTATCGTCCGTACCGAGCATTCGAGCGAGAGCGACTGCGCTGGCTTCATTCATATACACACAGGGTGTCTCTTTAATCGCACGTTGACGAAAGCAGGACGACGAATGGGATAAGGAAACGCCTCGAGTGCGCCGGAATTAGCGTTCACGCAACACTTCCTTCTCGCGCTACCGGATTCGCGTGATCACGTACACCGTGCGATCAAGAAACGCACCCGTGAGAGCAATCCACTCGATAGTCGCGGGGGTGGCCTGGTCAAATCACTTGTAATTATCACACAATCATTCTCGACACGGTGGCATGTACTATTTTAATATGCTTTTGTGACTTTCGGAGGTGGACTCTCGGCTGTGCACGGCCCCATGTACTCCCAATCTCTCCTCCTCTCGCCCTCACCTCCTCCCTCCCTCTCTCCCACCGTTTCGGGGGAGCTGGCAAGCCCCCCTCGAAGACGGTTACACAACGAACTTAGAGCCGATTCACAACGTCTATATACATATATTTTTTTTGTGTTTTTTCTTGTGTTTTTTTTTTAAATGCTTCACTCCGCCGCGCGCGTGCACCTTCTTACATCCTCTCTCTCTCCGCCACCCAATCTTCTCCTCTCTGTTCCCATCGCTCATCCACCTCCAGGATTCTCACTATACGCTTTACCGAGGCGTCGAATCGACCCGAAATCCCGACGCGCCTTGCCTCATGTGTTCAAGAGAGAAACAGAGCAGTGGGTAAAAGCGCGACACGATCGGACACAGGGCGCCTTGAGAGGAATTCCTTCCGCTTGTCTTCTGTGATAAAGTAGCTGCTCGAGCGATACGCATGTGAAAGATGCCAGAAGAAAGTCGCGAAAGTCTCCGTCTTATACTCGGATGTATGTTCGTAGCATCTCGCATGGGCTGTCACTCGCGGCGTGATTTCGAGTTTCGCCGCATGGGAATAAAATTAGTATCAATTCAAGTCTCATACTCTCATGGATAAACGAAAATATTTAATTTTATATGACGATAAAACATGGCAAAATTATGTGTATGTATATATATATATATATATATAGTTTTACTAAAAATATCATATTCTTTTTATTCATTAATAATTTTCATAAATTAAAAGAGGAAAGTATTAGATAAAAAGAAACGATAATTTCAAATTAAAAATTGTATCGGTTATACTCTGCAAATAATGCTTTTTCCTCTCAATTCGTAAAAATTATTCTTGAATAACAATGATATTTGTAGTGGAACTATGTATGGTATTTCTTCGTATAAGCATGTTTCTTCAGTCTCTCCATTTAAATTTTATCCTCATACAAGATTATACATACTTGCTTGTAAGAATATGAATCTTGAGTTGATACTAATTTTTTCCCATTTAGAGGAATCGGAGGCTCCGTTCCTGCTCCTCGGTGTCCGATCGCGCCGCGGATTTTCCCCCCGGAGAAGCATTCGTCTAGTACGCATCGCACGACTTACAATCGTAACTACGTAAAAATCTCAATCTCTTCCGCACTCTCTCTCTCTCTGTCTCTCTCTTTCCTCTCGTCAACCTAGTCTCTCTTCTTCTCCTCATTCTCCCGCCGCGCCTCTCTATCCGCTTAGGATTATCGCGAAAATATGATTCGGCCCAGTGTGACTCGCCGCAGCGACATTTGCGCACAGCTTCAACGAGGATTCCGTTTATATAAAATAAAAAAAGGAAAACGAGAACAATAAAAAAAAATGATGTGGAGCAGGACGCTCTGTGTAATCGTTATCACAGCGTCCTCCTCTCGTTACAACGACGATTCTCTTTCTCTCTACGAGCCTCGCGCGTATATTCCTCTTTTCTCTTGCCATTTCTCTCTCTCTCTCTCTCTCTCTCCCTCTCTCGATTACTATATTATGAGATCAATCTGCGCACGGTTACCGTAAACACCACTGTTATCGCTTCCGGTTGGATCGCATCACTGACTGGCGTCGATTAATTTGTCGCGAAGTTGATTTCGCCGATCATAAAGCAAACAATGCGAATGATGATAAAAACAAAATGGCGGGGAACGAAGAGATTGAATAAAATATGATAGAACATAGTAGAGATTAGTCAAAATAATGGTATTTGTAAGAGAAGCATAATAAAATAGATAAAATAGATAACGAGTGGAATACACGTGATACAGAATAAATAAAGAGCAGGAAATGTACACGAGAAACGGGGAGGACGAGAGGCGAAAGTAAGAAACAGAAAAGGAGATTTTAGGGAAATAAAAATGAAGAGACAAGAGAGATAAATGAAGGGGTAATTGGATCGCGAAGTCCGAGAATTCGCGTGTCGTTAGTTTGAAGTTTTAAATTGGTAAAATTCCATGTAAAATCGAATTTATTTTTATAAAACTGAATTTTTTTTTTAGACGACAGATGTATGAGTACGCAGGTTTATGTACGTGTATCAGTAATTCCATTAAAATCTGGCAAGTTGAGATAGGTCTCGATGCGTCGACACGATTCTCGACGAAAACACGTTCCCACGTGCTGCGGAATCACGCTAAACACGCGGATCATCAATGGTAATTAACGAATTAATTTCATCATCTAGCCGCGATCGCACAGTGCGCCGGTGGATAGGCACGCATCGAGATCTACATCAACGCTTCCTCGGGACAGAATAAAAGAGGATTTTGTAGTCGGGATAAAATCATAATGAACGCCGCAAATAATTAAAAGCTACAACGCGTGAAGCGAAATTGGGTCGCGCGAAAATCCGAGCGTAAAGCGACTAAAACGAAAAAAACACACACGTGAGAATGTCCCGGAGCGTATCGGGCGTTCGCGATTACTGCGGAGTCGAGTATTGTGGATGCCGTTTGTTCTGATCCGGTAAATGTGTCTCGTTCGAAATAATTTATGCGTCGACATATGTGCAGTGATTAAGAAAAAGAAAAAAGGAAAAACAGGAGTTCGAGCGATCGCAACGTCGTTGTCTCGTACATGTCTTTGGTTTCAACTTCGTATACCTGTGAGCTCTCTCGCATCGCGAACATGCGCGCACCGGCCGAGAATCTAATTAGAAATAATCTACCGTAAGATCCCATGATCGATATCGCGTTTTCGTCCGCGCTTGCTCGCCGTTGGCGCGACTCGACGGCGGCGCCGACGCGCTGTTCGACTTGCGATTCACGAATAACTGTACAAGAAAGCAAAGAAAGACACTGCCAAGGCGACGATTCGCCAGCCGGGCATCACGTCGTCGATGGCGATCGCTGTCTCCGTCGTGGATAGGAAAATCAGCGAGAGAAATGTGCTCAGCCGACGATACATCTCAAGAAAACGAAAGACAAAGGAGGTACGTATAAGAAAGAAAAAAAAAGAGAGAGAGAGAGAGAGAGAGGGGTAAAAAAGAAGACAAACGAAAAGAGACGGATGATGGGGAAAACAGAGAGAAAGAGAGTATTCGAGAACAAAGAAAACAGTAGAAACCGAAAAAGGAAATAATTAAAAAAAAAGAAGAAAAGATAAGGAAACTGAAAATACTGTCGTTCGCGCGACGAACTGCGGACGTTCGCCACGTCGGATCGCAATCGCCCCTCCCTCCCTCCCTCCATCACACCCGCTCAGCCCGCTGTCGCCGCTCGACAAAAGCGGCGAGACACGATGCGCACAAAGCAAAGAGAGAAAAAGTTCGATCGCCAGATTGTTGGTTCCGCCGACTCTCGGCTCCTCCGGCGAGACGAGATAAGCGAGACGCGTTTCTATTTAAACTCTCGGAGTGATATGTAGAGACATCATCTAAGGAAAGAAAAACGCGCCGCTGTTGGTCGAAGGGGTCTCGCTGTTTACTGCTTATCCATTGGTTCAGCATCGTTCGGACGACCCGTGCGTGCATACGCGTGGCACGTGTGTTTGTGTCCGAACCGGCACTCTGGAACGCGACTTCGCGGCGTCGCGGAACGGAGTCTCCCCCGGTGTTGCGGGGAGAGCGCGTCCGCGACCGGGGAACGGCTGGGGGGCTGCATTATTCTGCTTGTCGCGCTTCCCGATAGACTAGATAGAGGACGATCGAGGATCGGGACGAGCGTGGTCGCGACGAGTTACCTCCCGTGAAAAAGTCGAAATCGACCGCACACGTCGGAATTCTCTGACATTTCGCAAGAACGATTTATCCATTGCGATAATTTCGCCGCCGAGACTCGTATTATCGACGATTCGCCGGAATTTCTATCCCTGTTTTCCCCGATTCCTCGGCGGAGTTTCGAATAGTGCGGAAGCAAGCGGCGCGCGCCATTCGTCGTCGATCGTTGTCTGAATTGAGATCGAGAAACCGTCCGTGAGAGAGAACGAATTCGCGTTCCAGAGCATTCGATTCTCCTCGCCGAGATCACACGAGATGCGAACGAGTCGATCATTCGCTCGCTCGCTCGCACGCACGCACGCGTACCGCACATGCACGCCCCACGCACGGTTACATAATAAAGAGACACCGTAATTACAAACTCTACACGTAGAATCGTCAATCTTCCGGTTAGGCGCGTACTCGCGCGCGCGCGCACGCGCGCGCAACGTCACGTGCACACACTCCCCCCCCCCCCCNCTCTCTCTCTACCTCTCTTTCGCCGAGTTAATCGTAAATATGCGTATATATGTATCTATATATATACATATATATATATCCGCTTTATGTGTAAGTGTGTGTTATACATATATATATAGATGTATGCGATCACAGAACACGTATAATTCGCGTGTAATAGTTTGTGCCACGTTCTTCGTGTGTGTAACCTTAACGATCTATATAAGAATTTGATTTGTTTAAACAGCCTCTCCGTCCTCGTCGCGCGCGCACTTCGACACCGTAAGCGGCGTCCCCGCTATTGACGGCCGTCAATTGCCGAGGAAGAGACGGGGCCTCGTCAGTCGTGCGTCGCGCCCCTCGCGATCTACTTAAGCTCTCTCTCTCTCTCTCTCTATCCTTCATCCCTCCAGTGTTTTAACGCTACGCCAAAGGCATGGAAATTCGTTGATGAGCGCCCGCGCGCGAAGAATCGCGCATCGAGAGATTGGTGTTCACCGGCTGATCGGCCGGTCGCAATTCTCACGACGATGTTTGGTCGCGCGCACCACTCGGGCGATCCGCATCTATTCTCTCTCAATCTCCCTTCTTCTCGTCGCACAGGGCGAGCGGAACGACTTTCTCCCTCTGACGTTTTCATCCCGCTAAGACAGCAGCCGGATTCGCTTCTCGTGCACAGCTCGACGCGACACTCGCAGTGCAAGTCGCTTTCCGTCCACTGCCGTACGCAGCCGCGGATCGTCCTAGAGGTCTAAGGCTCGCTCGACGCACGCGTATGACGAAAAGTTAGGTACGATTCAGTGTTAGCTTTTCACCGTTACGAGAGTCGTCGAAAATGAGAGATAAAACGCGCACAATATGTGTGTGTACGTGTGCCGGACACAGCGCGAAAGATGACAATTCCTCGGTTCTCCCTCGGTTCTTCCTCCCTCCCTCCCTCCCTCTCGCCGTTCGTCGACGCACTTGGTCGCACCGAATACCGACGTACCGGTGATTCCGTGCGCGATACGGAAACGGGAACTCGAGAGCGCGAAACGCCGAGGCGAGTCCGGATGAAAAAAACCACGACGGTGAAATCCCCCGCGTGCAATCGCGGGATTCAGCGTCAACCGATCTCTTAATTTAAGCTTAACGATTAATTTTTTTCTTTCCATCCCTCGACAAGATACATCCGACAGAAAGGAGAAATGTAATGGTCGCACGGAGATACGCGCACTTCAGTCTCGCCCGGCGTGTGCGCACGCGCGTGCAACACCTGCGACAAGCGACGAAGGTGCGCGGACACACCTGCGGAACGCACGGAAGATCGAAACGTAAACGCGAACGGTGTGTGGATGGATGTGTATGCGTGTAGGTGTGTGTATGCGTACGTGTGTGTTGTAACGTTACAAGCGCGACCGCGAAAGCTTCTAACAGGCGAGAGCAAACTTTAACAGATCTGAAACATAAACGATACGCACAAATAACAGTCTGCTACGATGTCGAACGTAGAAAAATACAAGTGTCTATGTACAAAACGAATTATAAATCTCTCCCTCCTTGTCATCCCCGTCTTCCTATCTGTTCAATACATCTCTCTCTCTCTCTCTCTCTCTCTCTCTCTCTCTCTCTCTTCTACTCCTCCTTACATTTCATTTTTCCAATCGGCTCCCGACACACACAGAAAAACACTCTCGCTCATTACGGATTATGTTTTCCACGAATCGACGGAACTGGGAGCTGCGCGATCGACGCGTTCGCGCCAAGAATAAAAGGTGAAATCGCCGTTAGATGAACGCGGACGAGCGGCTGGACGAAGAATCGCGCCGAAAGCGCAGCCGAAACAAGTGATCAAACAACAGCGCGATCCACCGGCCGCTCCCTCACAATCTACGTCGAACGTTCTTGTTCTTGCTTCTTTACTCCCTCCTTTTCTTCGCTTCTTCGTTATCGCCTTTTCAGCGCTCGCTGAAGAGCCGCGATTGCTGTCCATTGCCGGCGGCACCACCAATCGAACCATGAAGCGACGGCCTTACGATGGCGCCGCACACGCCGAGCAGCGGACCCCATTCGTCCCGTCGTCTCTCTCTCTCTCTCTCTCTCTCTCTCTATCTATCTATCCATCCAACTCTCTTTCTCTCTTTCTCCCGAAGTCGCGTGCATGTATGTTTCGTATGAGACTCTCGATGATATAGTGCTCGCTCGCTCGTTCTTTCCGTGCCGTGTGCATGACCCCGCGAAAACATCGCGCCTATTCGCGCGGGGAAACAAATCGACAAACTGACTGATAGACAGCAGACAGGCGAAGGGGTGACGCTGGACTCCGCTTTACGTCATATACCGCATTACGGCACGAAGAGCATATAGCAGTTCCGCTTGCATGCGAGCCTCCAGGATCATCAGGCACACGTGGACCTAGAAAACAGAAGAACACGGGATTTAGCGGTTCGTTCGACTCGTCTGATCGCTTGACAAGCTTGTCTTCCCGTTCCGCAGCCGTAGAGCGAGGATAGACTTTCTCGTACTCAGTGGCAAAGCACCGAAACCAACATAGGTGTGATAAACCGACATGACCATGTTTCTCAGCTCTGTAAGGTCACTGAAATGAAGGTATACTGGAAGAAGCACCGCCTTATAACGCCTAGGAACGGAAAACGGGAAACAGATAGATGTTTAAGGCTACCTGTCTCTTTCTAAAGATCCCGACATGTGCGCACAAACATGAAGGTACCGGTAAGACTAAAAAGTGAAATCATATGTCTCGGTTGTCCGGGAGAATCCGTTTAACGATGGTCGCACACACTTTTCAACTTGACTGACGACGAAGAGTCGCAGGAAGCCTTAAACTTGCCTTTCTCCGTCGGCTACATTTTTCCAGGCTCAGTGCTGCCTCTTATAGTATAGATGCATTTCAGTGTGTAAAGTACTAAACCTTGTCGGACAATATGTAAACTTCGTTTGATGTACACAGTAGTTTGGGACGAAGTGGCAATTTCTGTTTGCAAGCGCGTTCGGTTGTGTTATTAGCGTCGTTTGACTGCTGAAGTTTCGTTGAGCTTTCTTCTTGTAAAAGTTAAAGCGACAAATGAACGATTAAGTAATTGACTTGATAATGCTATTTTATAGTGCAAGTTTTGAACTTTGGACCTTGTGCCGATCTCTATCTTTTGTCACGTAAAAAAAAATTAATGTTAGATTAGAGATACCTGAGTTTACTGGCCATTCAACCGACATACCTGAACTTTGCTGTGAAGTATCATTTCTCAAAATACAGTTGAAATACCGGCGACTAGTTTTCCCTTGTTTTTCTTGTTTGTTTGTTTGTTTCAGATGATCGGAAAGAAATCAAGAGATCTCTTTCTTTCCACATAATAAAGGAGCAACATCATAAAATTATTGAAGTTTTAAAAAATATGTAAGATTACAATAATACGCGACATCTAACAAATGTACAAAATAATATATAATTTCAGTGCTCTTATTTTATATTTTTGACAATTCCCTATAGATACATCATGAGTATGTCGGTTTTGTGGCTTAACGTCCGGAAGCGTCAACTCTTGGATATCTTAAAAGAATAGTCATTTGCAAGGAAATATGTAATAATTATCACAAAACTGTCATACATTTTAACCGAGAAGAATTTCGTTTGCAACCATGCGCACAAATTTTATCCTTTCAACTTTAGCTTTAAGCTTAAGAACCCAGAAACAAAATAATACGTCGGTTTGAGTGCTCTTTCTTTACCGTCCCGGCAATTTCCAAGTAGCACATGTTAGTTCGACATACGTTGTTTAATCGTATATAACGTTTCATAATCATATTGCATAAGTTCAAAGAATATATGAAACTAACTCTGGCTACCCCCCGAGTTGTTTCAATTTTGTTACTCGGTTTACTTCGAACTTAGTCGTTTCGAAGTTACGCCTACTGTGGCGAAACAATCTCCACCCGTTCTTATCGGCGACGGAATTAAACAGCTAATTTCGAATGCAAAGTCTAACTCGCGCGGGCTAATCTTAATTTTCTGTCGCGGGAAATGGGTAGGAGCGGCTATTTCCAACCGTGACAAACATTCCGTCTAATTAGCATATTTAACTTTTAAACTCGTTTACGATATCGACGTCGCCCGCTCATTTCGATATTCAAAGCGGCCGCGCGCTGCCATTTGTTTTTCAAATAGATGCGCTGCTACACTCGGAGGGTAGAATCAATCGCTGCGATAACAGGGGCGCGTTTCGACCGGGGTAAACGAATTATATTCCAAGCCGTCGTATCTGCGTACCTTTTCACTGTGTTTGAACTCCCTCATAACGCGGTCGTAGTCTCTCTTGGTGACGCGCTCCGGATAGCAAACGGCGCTCTTGATGAAGGTCTTCAGGCTTCGTTCGAGCAATTGATTGACCTCATTGTAATCGTAATCGTCGTGCCTTATGCCGAACATGCACTGTATGTAGTTCCAGATCGCCCGTCTGAAGCGCGACGTGTCGACCTTGTTGTGCGTGCCCATCGTGTAGTACGTGAGATTGTACGCGGTCTTGAACTTGTCATCGAGCAGATTGCCGACGTCGTTGTAGAGACGGTTCACCAAGGAGTAGCCGTGATCGTCCCAGGAGCAGTCCTGGACGCGGAAGGTCGGTATGTCGTTCAGCTGACCGCGCTAAAGGACGAGAGAAGAAGAACCTTGCTTGAGCGGGGGATCCGTGAGGGAAAGCGCGACGGCGTTGAGAAACGAATAATCTCGAGTAGCGATCGCGCGACGGCAGACGGTAAAATTATGTTTAAGAAGAACAAGGAGATAACGGTGTTCAACCACTCGCGTTATCAGTCCCGGTGCTTTTATTATCCCGTGCATTAACGGCAGGCGCGTAATCGCGGTGCGCCTCGCCTTCGTAGCTACTTCAAGTCACAACAACGTACAATGCTGTCGCTTGTTGTAAATATTCATAGTTACGCGAGCGACGACAACGTCGTCGTAGTCATCATCGTTGTTGCGGGCGAAACGAGCCGGCTTAAATATTCATGGATGATGCTATACGGGCTACCTTGGAATATCCTTTCGGCTCTAATCCATTACACGCGCGCGAAAATAACGCGAACCACCGTCGCGATGCGCGTCGAGTCGAGCTACGAATCGCGGCTCGTTACGTTGTCGACGTTAAATGGACTAATCAAGAGACGTCGCAATGGCAGTCTCTCTCTCTCTGCGACCGTCTGTTTTATCATAGCGAGCTCAGCGCCCGATGATGATGGGAGGTGTGGTGTTTGATCACCACACATATACCTGGATATATGTACACGCGGCGCGCGAAGGAACTCACCTTGGCGAAATCCTGGTAGATGAAAGTGGGGTCCTCGATGAAAAGACCGATATCCGAGTCGAGGACCGAGCTACTTCTCTGCGGCGCCGCCGCCAGCTCGGCTGATTGCGTCTCGACAGTCTCGAATCTCTTCGAGAGCTCCTCTTGCGTGATCTGATAGGACTCGGACTTTTCCGAGAGCCGCTTCATACGTTCCATCAGAGTCTCCACCCCGACCTCCTGCTCGCCGACTATGCTCGGCGATGATGGCGGCGACGGTATATTTTCTGCGCGGATCAAAATAACGCGATATTACCGCACGGGTTCGGTTCTTTCGGCGGATTTGCGATCGTAAACGAGCGCAAAGAGGAAACGCAAGCGCATATATGCGAGGAATTTAATTAGCATTATTTATTTCTTTACTTATTAATTAACGGGGTGACCTCATTTATATGAATGAAAAGAAGAGAATAAGAAAGAAGCGTGCAATGGGTACTAATAATATATATTTACCTATGCTGATATACATATTGTTATATTGAGAAAATATACGTTTTCTTAAATGGGTAGCTTTTTCCGAAAGCGATTCGTTTGCCTTACGTCTAAATAAAAGAATTTGAAGCAAATATATTATTTAGTACCCATCGAATAAATATTTCTTTACTTTTTAGATATTTTTTCCTTCGGTATATATCGCGCAAAGACGAAAAAATTGAGACACAGTAATGAACGCAATAAGACGCTGATTTCGATGGTGATTACGCTAAGGCTAAAACAATAGGATCGCTTAACGTACGTACCAGTCTTGCCGTCATTATTGGGGATCTTCTTAGGAGTGCTGGAGAGTTTATCTTTGGCTGGTGGCACCTTACTACTATTGTCCTGACTGTTGTCCTTGTAGTGATGGCCGGTCACATTGTCCAATTCCTCGTTGATCCCGCAGGAAAACACGAAAGATGACAAAGAATGGAAGTGCGCTAACAGGACTATCGCGTGGACAACCTCGGCTATGGTCCAATTATCGTCGCCCTTAGTCAGTTTCTGGGAGGGGCACACACAGAGAGATACAATTGAGAATCATCGTTAGCGTTATTCGCGAGTGATCGTGCAGATCGGCAGCGCTTACCTCTATGTGCGCCTTGGTCAGAAGCCACGGTCTGTGAGCTAGGATCTTATTGATCTCATAGAGATCTTGCAGCTTCCCTGGAATCGATCTCAGGCCTTGAAGCCACGAGGGGTCACCGCCCTGCAGCAGGAACTCTCCCTTCTGCAGGTTTATAAGGTAGCTACACTGGTGCCTACCCGCGGCCTGAAACCACACGAAGATAAATCTTCAAACCCGTTCCGGCAAAATCGCACCGTCTTATCCCTACGGTACCCTCTCCTCGGGGGCCGTTTTTATCATTTTCAGTGTAATTCTTCGCTTCTCGTGCGTTCCACGCCGCCTCTCATGCGTTCCAAAGTTATTACCGTCGGGAAGATATGCGACTGTCCGAAATTTTCGAAGAAACGAGCCCCTACGGCGGATTATCGAGGAAGATTTGTGATTCTAAACGCGACTGACCCATCGGTCGATTAATAAGGCACGATTTAAGCCGTGAATCAAAGGAACGAGAGTTCGGATATCTCGAAAGATAATCGTGCGGCTAGAGATGTTCTATATGTAACACGCGCGGTTTTATGTACTTTTAATACGGAGCGGCGAAATATTATGTTACGGACTAATCAATGCATACGCCGCGCTCTCCGTCGATAAATCAACTAATTTATAGAGGTCGTTATGCTTCGACGGCCGAGCCTCGTAATCTTGATTATCGCGTTAACCTCAGGCAGTACATCATGAGGCAGATATACAGGTCCGCAGAATTAGCTTGCAGATAATGCCCGCCGATAAGATACTACCCATAGGGAAATAAGTGCGAATAAAACGAGCGGGCGCGCGAATCGACCGAAAGCAATTTTGCCCCGCGAGGAATTTCTATTTGAATACTGCCGCCGTCGCATGCATTATTGCCGCAGCAGACGCGCGAGTGTGCACGTGTGTGCCGATACCACGCACAATCGCGCGCCGATAAACGGTAGATTTCCCGTTCCACAAATTTTCGAGGACGAGCGTCGGGTTATTGGCTCGATTTTGAGGACCCCGTGGCCGCGTGCCGCGCGTTTTTCAATAACAAATTTCGACCGACGAGAGAGGCGAATTGACGGTAACGTGATGACGCATCGGGGCGCAAAATTGCGCGAGGTCGCGGCCGGCAATATCGCGCCGTTATCGCGCGCAGCACGATTTTCGAGCACGCGTCAAATAACACGGCGGATCCAGGGAGGCTTCAACGTCCATCAGCGACGTTTAGTTAAGACAGTTGACGGCGCCCGTCAAACCATTTTCTTAAGAATTCCTTTGAAATTCTACATATTGGTTGGAAATATCATTTACACAACTAAAACGATTGACGATTTTTTCAGCCACTTTTACAATAAATGATAAATAGATAGTCTTCACGGTATGGAAAGTTAATCTCGTCATATGTGTACAAAGATTGATAAACTCGCATTTATAACGATGGAATAATGCATGAAACTCGAGAAAAAGTTAGAAATTCTCGTCGAGAAATAATACGATTTTCCAAAGTGGTGCGGACCAGATATTTAACTTATTAATTCGGCCTCGAATCGACTCACGATATAATATCGCGATGCTGCATATCAGGAGTTGCTAAACCGATTTAATACCGTAGAAATATTCATAATGCATGTCTAGTAAATGTAAAAGGATCGAGAGGGAGAAATTGTAACACGTACAGTGCAAAATTTAACCGCGGCGGTAGTTTTTTTTTCTACACAAATGGAACGACTCGCTTTTGAAAATTTGATATTTTAACGGCGCGATACTACCACACGTATTTTTCTATACGCTATTCGCAACGGCCAAATCGAACGACGTTTTCTCTCTCTCTTTTTTTTTTTTTACTTTCCTCCTTTTTTCGGTGAGCGAGGGTTAAATTGCCTGACGCGAGCTCACTGGTAATCTATTTATTTCCGCGTGAGCAACTTTGCAAAGCCCGCGAGCATGAAATGCGTCAGTTTAGCACCCCTGACTCGTCATTTCACCAACCGGGAATTTCGTATGGGCGGATGCAGCGAGATTCTGACAAGATCGATCGATCATCGTAACACGGGATGGTAATATCACGGTGAGGAGACGCGGCGAAGGAGAGCGGAAAATGCGAGATGAAACGGAAAAGAAAGAGAAGAAAAGAAAGATAAAGAAAAGAAAGGGAACGAGAGGGGGAGGGGGGGGGGAAGAGAGATGAAGTGCGCAAACAAAGTGCCGTGTTTACCATGAGAACTGTCAATCGATCGATTCAAGAGTCGCGATAAGCGCGATAAGAGTCCACAAATACATCTTCGTTGCTGAGAAATATAGCATCTTTTCAAGAGAACCACGAGTTGGAAGTGATATGTTCTAAGGATATCAACAGTCTCACGCATTTATTAGACCACGAATGATTCCACGGGACAATTCGCGATAGATGATTGAAATTTCTCGATTTTGGGGTGTCTGCTGAGCTAGCAGCTTCACCGCGAAATATTGAAATATCACATACAGGAAAGGTAAATGCCCTTTTCTTATGTTTGCTAATTATGCGCTCCATTCTCGATTTTTGCGCTCAAGTAGTTCAGGAGGAAGTCGCAATTAAAAATGAAGGCGCTGGATCAATACAAAACTAGCATCTCCGCCGCTGCTTAGAAATAAATGTATAGAAACGTGATTTTTGATAAATAGCAAATTTATGAAAGGCCCCCTTAATCCATATTGGAAATATAGCTTGTTTAGCGAACGAATCTCTTTAAACGCAGCCGACGGCGATGCCGACTTTGGTATCTCATCGGTCAAGATTAAAGCGCACGAATTGGGAAGACGATAGAGTACCAAAAAGATACATTATCGCGGCGACGGGAAAACGGTATGACGGTGCGAGAAAGATTTGCCACGTAAAGAAAACGCTTGTGTGCATGCGGCGTTATCAATCTCATTCCAAATGTAATTAGTGACATATCGGTAGGACAAAAAAGGGACATTCCATTTTTCCGGATAACAAGGAGTGACTACTTGGGTACCTTCGGTACTCGTAAACGCTACGGAATCACGCGATTGTGTAACGATAACGTTGCCCCGATAACGCTCAAATTCATCGTTAAGTTATGTCGGCCTTCACCTGACTTGGCCGCTTGCCTTTCTCATCATTTTCTCGTTCGTGCATCTTTCTTTCGTGGAAAGCTGACGCGGAACATGCGGCGCACACAGTTGCTCGACCTTATTTACGGCCATTTCGATAACAAGCGGCAAAATAACCGGCAAACCTAACACCTGTATCAGTTAGCAACTGTGAATTTGAGACCAAGGGAGGTTCGCGATAGCACACGACACTTATTTTCGAAGGCAGGTCGGTGTATTTGCTTTCGTGTGCTGCCTCGCACGCGTGATGCCTGACATCTGATTCGGACATGATTAACGATGCGTAAACTCTGACGGTAGAAGAAGATAAGCCATGAGTTGCAAAACACGTCATTATTAAGTATGACTGCTCTGAAAAATGATGAAGACGGAGTATATGGAGCCATGAGGAGCCGAAGCACGGATGTTGTAGTGCTATTTAAATATTAATATGTCTGTGGGAGGATATAGCATATGAACGTGTAATAACGTCTATTAACGAATAATCTAACGAAATATTATCCGATCTGGTCATGCGGAGAATCTTTACGCATCGGGCGTAAATTTTCTTTTCATTCCTATTATTTTGAATATAATTTCCCCTGATTAACCCAACCCGGAATTTTTTATTTTAAATTTATACTGAGTGTTGCGAAAAAAAAGAGACTGCCTCTCAATTAGGATCTGATCCAGCCATATTCTGAACGTATATTGTACCTTCAAGTATTATCCTCCCACAGACATATTAATATTTAAATAGCACTGTAATATTCGTACGTGGTCTCATATATTCTTCCTTCACATATCATTATGCTTCTATTTACATTTTCTTTTTATTTAAGTGACATCTCAAAGGATAGATATGATCTCGCGTAGGAATTTTTCATGATTTCATTACGATCGTTGAGAAAACGTCGCGCCACGCAGCAGCCGACTCTTGCAGTATCATTTCCGACGCGAGAAGACGATCTCGGGCCCCGAAAAAATCAGCACACGCAACGAGCGGAAATCTTTATCGGCAGAAAAGCTGTTTTTCATACACCTTATCATTTTATCGCGCCGATCCGTGTGTACCGACTAAGAATTTACTTCGTTCTTTCCTGCACCTCGCCCCTCTCGAGATAAAGTGTTTCTTGATCGATCATGCGTGACGTGTATTTCGTCTATCACGGCCTACCACCGGCCTACCAGCCTGTCTCACAAGTTATCAAACCAGATAACTCCTTCCCGAGGAAGATCTCACGGCGAGATTGCGGAAGGAATGCGCGGAAGGTTCGCGAAAATTAGATTCGCCGCTTTCTCGAGTGATGGATTCGAAGAGTGATTCGAATCTTCGTTTCACGATGGATGTGTCTGGCCCGTCGCTAAACTGTCGTACTTTCTATTGATAAATACCAACGACAGTTTGAGAAAAAACGATTAGTTAACATGACGAAGATAGTTCAGTAAATGATTACTATCGCGACTTGATCGAAATGATCCAGAAAGTATTCCCTGATATTTGTAAATATAGCTATTATAGTATTTAAATATTTAAACAATATATGAACAGTTTTTACTCGTAGGCGTTGAAAATGCAATTATTTAAACGAGAAAAGCTTTCGAGAGAAGCTTTAATGCGAATCGTTCCGATCGAATTCGCGACGGCTCGAACGATCGGCTCACGACAACGACCGATCGCGGATGCGTATCCTTCAAATGCGGAAGCTGTAGCCTCAATATTGCATCCCGTAAGTTTTACGATCGTAGACCTGGCTCCGAGAGATTTCGCAATAAATAAAGTCAATTGCGGCCGCGAATGCCCGTCAAGCAGGCGTTAACTCGACAATTCAAAGTTAAACCAGTTTGCAGAATCTGCATACCTGCTCCCGCTTATATCGAGAGTCTAACAACATCGGACTTTTTGCCAGCTTTACACTTTATAGACATCCACGGAAATGTATTCAATCGCGAATTATGCATCGACTAATTCGAACTCGCTTCTGGAGAAAAAGTGGAGTTGTAATGGAGAAACGAGTTCTTCGACAAGAAGAACTTAATTCAGCGAGGAAAGAGAATAAGTTAAAGAGGAGGATATTTAATAGAATTCGTTCTCGAATTCTATTGAAAGCTTCGGTCGTAAGGAAAACAAGCAAATTTTTCTCTTACAAGTATCACGTAACACGAAAGGGGCTGGAACGTTCGTCTTAAATATCTCGAAGCCTTAACGAGAAATTCTCTTGACGCGTTTTCGCTTGACCGACAGATTGTTACGCGATTCTACGAATGCGCTTTAACTCTGCTGTTCTATTTGAGTCTATTTGATCCGAAATAATTTTTCTTTCCCTGTTACACTTTCATGTGATTTTACGTAATTTGAGCGAACGTTCTGGCATTTCATGACTATTTTATAGCTCAAGAACATCAATTTGAAACTAAGCTATGAAACAAAGTTATGAAATGCCAGAGCACTCATTCACAAAGTAAACATGATTCCGGGTCAAACAGACCCAAACAGCAGGGTTAAAGAACGTGTATTTTCATAGTTAAAATTCGAATTTGAGAATTGCTTCAAAATCAGCAAATTTCAATGCTTTACCTGTTTTCCCTACATTATCTAAACGGTCTTTCGCACAACTTTATATGTCCAGTGAATATTAAACAGCAAATGAGTCATCTATTGGTAAACATTATTCTTGCGCCGCAGGCCTTCGATTGTTAGACCGGACATTCGCCTATGTATTATTTATATTTCACCAAACACTTACGCAATTGGATCAAGCTTTTTTCATTATTTAAGAAATACATTGCCGGCCGAAACTGAAAGGACTATCTGAATGAAAGATAAAATCGTCTTTATTTCGCCGCTAAGATAGTTCTAAAATTCATGTCTTAATTATAACAGCGTGAAGCTATGTAATTATGGAGAGCATGCTGCTTTCAAAACGATTCTCGAACGAGCGCGTTTACGTGTGTGCGAGTGATAAAATTACATAATTTCACATAACAAACGGCGCGTGTTGATACTAAAATAGCTGGATGTTACGCAAATGGCCACATGTTCGTAAACGATCGCCGGATGGTGAAGATCGTAAAGGAGCGGTCAGTGTTTAATTTTTTTACACGTCCGCGCACAACGATTCCTTTAGAGCAAAACGCGCGGCGCGTTGTATTTACTCGGTTCGCGATAACCTCCGACTCGGTGACCCGTTACCGCTCATCGAGGATCATCAAGGAACTTCAGAGAAGAGAGGAGGATATCGTGGTTGCAGACAAACTTAACGAGCGGACAAACTTAACGAGCAACCATTTTCCACGTTCATCGCACAAGATTCGGTCAAACTGGAGATTTTTACGGAAAAGGAACACCTCCAAAAAAATTACTTTCACACACAGAAAGGTTCCAAATATAACATTTGAAATGGACTTTCCGAGCCGAAATAAAATAAAATTTTTAATAACGGCTATTTAATAGAACGGATAATCGATAGGGGGGAAAAATGCAGTGCATGTAGCTTACGTAGCTCTTCGTAGGGGATAAGAACGAGAACAGGTACTCACCATAATGGCAATGAGATGCCTGTAGTCATAAGGAAGTGGTCCGTCACCCCTGAGGATGAAATGCTGCGTCCGAAGGAAATGATCCAGATACGTTGGATGCGAGGACATTACCCTTGAGACATGATCCAGTCTGTTATTCTGGAGGAAAGCATCCATCAACAGCATATGCGTCTATAACAATCAAAACACATCGCCGTAAGCGAAAAGGAAAAACGCGTCATATTATAAATATTTATTGCCAATGTTGTTGTTTTGTAAAATTTGCATCAAAACGCTTCAGTATAATAAGATCTACTAAGATTCAAGGGTCTCGGTACAAATCCCGCTGTACAATAATTTTGTCGATCTATTTCTCTAAACTAATTAGAGTTGGAAATTTTTAAGAAGTGACAGATGATTGAATTTGTTAAAAAAAGTACCCTTTCAATGAGAAAGCAGATTTAAATTTTTAGAGAATATGTCCTCGACGTGAATTATTACGCTACTTCTCAAAACGTTAAAAATGTTCTTGGCTCTCGGACATCGCAAGGTGCGTCGTATTGCGATTACCGAGTGCGTAGGAAGATTGTTTTCGCATTAGTTATTCATATGGTAATCCGATAAACGTAAGTCTTTGTTTTTTATCGTTACCTGTGATTTGTCGCGATAAACTTTGACATTGGACGCGCGTTACAACGCAGTTGATGTACATTAATCGCAATAACAATTACATAATTTCGTTCAAGCTAAAAAGGAAAGAGTAGGTTTCCGGGTCATCCGAAAGTGATTCTCGTAATCAGATATTTGCGTTACATCATTCAACGACAATTCGTTTCGTACGTTAATTAATATCCTCGGTGCTTTTGTACAAATCAATGGGGAAAAAGAGAGATACGTACGGCAAGATACATGCAGCGATAGGTATCAGAATAAATTATCGGTACCGTGGACACGCTACATTATAGTACCGCGCATAATGACCACGTTGCATTCCACGACGTGTGATCGCTCCTTCTTAATCGAATGTTAGAGTAAACAGTGAATTGATAAGAAGTTATTACGCGCTGCGTGCTTACGCGCGCGCATGTAAAAATGCATCGTGTTAGGGCTCGCTAACGCGAACGTGTAATGCAATGTAATTGCAAGGTAGCGCGCGCACATTAATCGCTCAAACATGAAATAATTCACAATTTAGAAAATAAACGTACGTGACTCGGAGCAGGCTCGAGACTCCTTGCGCCCGAGTCACGTTTCGCCGTGAAGCGCAATTCACCGGATACGCGCGTTAACATCTAATAATTCCTACGTGTACCAGTTTCTCCCGCTACCGATATTGAAATCCATCCGGAGTCCATCCGCCGTGAAGCGATCGACCTGATCAACGAAGTTGATCAATGACGCGCACGCGGACTCGTAATTCGAGATTTAGAGATCTTGAGTGCGTCGGTATGTACGCGTATACGGACAAAAAATTAGCGTCAATTCGAGACTTTCATTCTTATATACAAGCAGGAATGTATAATCTTACGTGAGAATAAGATGTGTCCTTACATGAAGAAATTCTATATAGTTCCTCTGAAAATATCAAATTCTTATTGTTCTAGAATTTATGAATTGAGAGAAAAAATATTGGATATGTAGAAAAAACGATACTTTCAAACCGATACAATTCTTAGCTAGAAGATGTCATTTTCTTTATCCGATATTTTTCCTCTCAATTTATGAAAGTTATAGGCCTATCCGAACAAACTTGCATAATCGCATATTGCATATACATAAAGAAATCAACCAATCACGACCGGTGCAGAAAAAGGAGGTCCTCTATATTAGACACATGATTGGCCAATTGCCTTCTGCATCAGTTCCTTCCGCATCAATTTCCCTTTATGCGAGTACGCAAGTTTGTCTGGATGCCTGTAGAAGGCGAACGAGAGAAAACGCAAAAACAGAGTTGCATTCTTTTCCACGTGCATCTCGACCTCTACTCCTTAAGTAAAGGCAAACGCTCGGTCTAGACATACTACGTCCATATTATAATTCACCGAGCGTCTGCATTAACAAGTGTCATAATAGAATAAACAATAAATGCTAACGAAGCTATCGAGCGACCTAAAAAGCGCAGCCGATGGTTATTAACGCTCGCCGGCCGAGAATGCAGTATTATGATACACGTGTGTACAAATGCAAGTGCGATTTGTCTGGTCGTGGTCAACCTTGTAATAGGTCACTAACCCGTGTAGTACACACCGGCTAAGCGCGAGAAGCATTTCACTTTGGCGCCGGCTTTCGCCTCGAGAGGCATATCAAACAGCATTCCGCCGGACGTAAGCGTGGACAGGAAGAGAGATCTCGATGCTCACGTCACACACGGTTCGTTACGACCGTCGCCGGCAAATCATCGCACGGAGGTGACAACGGGACACCGTGTACGTGACGAATCGCGTTACGCTTCGCACGGGCGAACGAACGAGCACAGTTCACCTGCACGAGCGGCTCCGCGTATCGCTCCTAATCAGATTATAATTGAAAAACAGCAGACGGCTATTAACATACGCTTTCTTCAAACGACGCTGGGCTCGATTTCACCGGCGCGATTCTCGGCGTAAACAAGCGAAACGAACGGCGCGTGGATAAGCGCGCGCTCGCGGGGCTAAAATCATCGCCGCGAATAATTAATCGACGTCGTGTTCGGCCGGTTGTCATTATTATTATCATTATCGTGCGTCCGTGAAGGAAAAGGCTCGGCCGGATTCCAGTCGAAACCGGTGTACGTGTGTGTGTATGGGTGGGAACGACTGTGTTTTGAAAGATTCTTATCCCGGTGCGCAAGATAGCCGATAAATTGCGTTTATTCCCAACGCGATTAGAGTCCCTCAAATGAAAGTCCGGCGACCTCTGACTTTTTCGATTAAAAGTCACGTTTGCGTCGTCACTAGAATAACTGTATCCGTGAAAAGGGTCTACAATATATCGAGTTCAGGCACATTTTTTTTACGGATACATATATATGTCATCTATCTTATTATATATAAATATATTAATAACCGTATGTTACGTGTAAACTTCGTGAGGGCGTGGAATCGAACGGATTGAGGCGAACAAAAAATTCTTTAACATTTTGCAAACAACACGAGATCCGTCATTTTTTATCATATAAGACACCGGGCCAATTAGTGAGAAATCGAAAATGGTCAGACTCTTACTTGAAGGACTCCAAGACGCGATATCGAGCGAAAGCAAGTCCGCGAGTTCGCGTCCGATACTCCCATGATACCTCCCACACGTTCCCTCGATCTAATCGTGATACCAAGTAAACACTGACAATTCGTCGTCGGAGGTGAACAGATAAAAATATATTTAATAAACAGAAGTCTTATCAAGCACGCCGGTCCTCGAATTGGCCGACCTATTATTAGACGGCCGACGTTCGTTGGCGGGCCCGGTCCACGTGTGGGCGGAAATAACAAATTACTCAGTGTCAGCTAACCGGCGTGGCAGCCGGAGATCGAGAGCAGCCCGATCGCGAGGAAATTCACTCGAAACTTTCCGGCAGGCCGAGAGGGAGAAAAAGAAAAAAAAAAGAGAGGAAAGAGGCATGCCTCTGAGAAAGGGAGAAAAAAAGAAGGCTTCCGAGAAAAATTCCCGTGTCCGCAATTGATCCATGATCATAAATCATTCGTTCAGCAATGTTCACTCCGACATGCGTTACATTCTCGCACTGTCGACATTCTATCGGCCGCTTGACGGTCGCGCGCCTTGCGTGCGATCGAGTCGTACGGACTGATATGAATATTAATACCGACGATTATCTAACAGTGGATCATTCCAACGCGTAAACATCCGCGATAACTCGCTTCGAAGATCATGTTTCCAAGTGCGCATTACATTAATAAGTATAAAAAAAACAAACGCAAACAAAGATTTACAAGACGTCTCAACGGCGATCGACGATAATCTTTAATGGCTCTTTAAATGCATGAGAATAACACGAGAAAAGTTATTGAATTATTGTTCCCCGACGCCAGTCCATATTTTTTCTAAACGAACCGTCGGGATATCCATCGGACGAGTATCTTCGTAAGCCTCGTGGAATTATATCGCTTCGTGCGAACTTAGCCAGAACAATTTTACCAGCCAGAAGTCATTCGCGCGAGAATAAATCGCAAGAATTTATCGCGATATGTTCACTTATAATATCGCGATCCGCGATAACGGCAATCGAAACCGACGTACTGATGTAACTTTACCGAATTCAATGTTATTTTAATACACGTGTACTATTCAAAGGGGGTTTCTTTTTTTCTCACGAAGTACAACATTGATCGGAAAACAATAGAAACAAGCAATAAGTTAGCGAATATATGCGATACATCGAAAGAGAAAGAAAAAGTCGATTAATTTATCAGTGAGTCGAATGATATCAATCCTTAAAACTTCAACGGACCCGTCGTACGATATGAATGAACGAGCGGCCAGCCGAGGGAAAAGGACTCACGATAAGACGGGAGCCGTTTCGCCAAAATAGCCGGCTGCGTCACAGACGACGGGCATTACTCAATTAACTCGTACACGCGATTTGGCGAGCCGTCTTGCCCCGGCAAGGCGAAGCGAGACCCTCGAAAAGTGCAGCCAGCGCGGCAGGGAGCCTCTCCCCTTCCGAGAGAACCCTTTCTCTCTTGGCGGAGTTTCCTGGCAATCGGCCCACGACTCGCTGAGACTTCGTGGCGAGCTCTCTTCTCGGATACCTTCCCCGTCCCTCGATCTTCCTCACCTCGCTCTAGCAGCGCCGAAGTCCACGTCGCAACGTGATTTTCCTGCAGCGGAAACGGCGCGCGCGATCGAGTGTCTCGCCTCGGGTGACCATATTCTTCCGCGCGTGACCGGGACTATTGGGAGAAAGGCAGCGACGTTTGCAAGTTTTAAAGGGCTCCATGGTCGCGACCTAATCCGATCTTCGATCCTGAAACGAGCCCTCGGAGTCGTCGAGGCCGTAAACAGAGACCTCGGGGAAAATTATACCACGCGATTTACGCGCGGGTGTCGACGCGCGACGTGCTCGCGCTGACTTTTTCCCTTCGCTCGGAAAATCCACGGGAAGCAGAACGGTGAATGAGGAATCCCCGCTTTCTTTTCCTCCCAGACTCGGCCAATTGTTCGCGCGCAGGATCTAACCACGATGGTGCAATCGTCGC